CTCTAATTCATACACAAATATCCCGACACATTAAACACTTTACTCAGCATTTTCCATTAAACAAATTGCAGTTGAATGCTAAACATTGAGTAGTTTTAAAGCGAATAGGTCGGTGTTGTTTACCCGCACGTCTCTTCTGAAATCACAGCATGCACTGTTAAAACGCAGCGGAGGCAATAAAATAAGATCTCATTTAGTGTCTTGATCAAATCCAGGTATTAAGACGAAAGAACAAACAAAAAAGAAACACGTTAAGACGGGCCTGGGTTACTGGCATAGTCTAGAAACTACGACACCCAGTGGAAGCCGAATCGTGGGATCTTGCCTGCTTGTTAATTCAAAGTCAGAATGGGTCAGAGTAGAATGGCAAGAAATTTCTAAAACTTTTCTGCCATTTATATGCTCAGAACATTTACCTGAGGTGATTGATAACACCAATTAACGAGCTGCTATGCATAGTTTGTAGCATCACAAACAATTACACATTTGTCTGTTCTGATTTATAACTGTTCAAGGGAGATACTGGCCTGCTTGTTTCTGCCTTGCATCGCTGTGCCGTCCGGCTGGATAGTTTTAGCCCGACTTGAAACCACCTCCCAATGTTGTGGCGTCAATTCTATTGCCCCTTCAGACTCCCACGTTGTTTGCGTCGTTGTTCAGTAGCAAAATCGCTGTTAACTCACTGCTTCCACCACTGTGGTGGAAATTTTACAGGCAACATCAGGTAATCCGTAAAGTTTACCACTCCATCGAGAATGTTCCTCTCCGTAGGTCTCGGAGTCATCTCTGTTTCTGAAGGAATTTCCTCCCCCTAAAAATGGTATTTGACAATATGTATAATTCTTCACCTATACACGTCTTTCTTACAGTTTACGACTTTAATTCACCTTTCTGTAGTCGGTTCATGGCTTTTCTGTATTTATGCAATTTCGTGAGGTGAAGGAGCTTGAGATGCAGATATCTGCCTTACCTTATTTCGTCATTCCAGTCTGGGTACCAGTTATTTCGTCAAATCTCAATGCCATTTGTCATAGTGTCCCATGACCCGATCCGCTAAGTGCATTTTGATTGACGATGCTTCCCTCCCTCCATCTATTTCATTCGCATTGCAGGGTCTCCCTTTCGTCGACGTTTAAGTGGAGGACAGAAAAGAAGAAGGTACACTTCTCAGAAGCAGCCGAACGTAAGACGAAATTGGTTTTATTTGTTAGGAAAGAATGATAACGAGCTGATACGATCATTCAGTGAGAGTAAATAATTTTCTGAAAAATTTCATTGCCTTAATTTACTGTGGCTCCTCAGATGCGCGAAATCAAGGCAGTTTCGATGCATGCTTTGGGTGTCTCGAGACTCCCTCCTGACGCCCTGCCGAAATTAGGCACCAGTATGAGACCTAATAGCCCTTTAATTAGAAACTTTTCTTTGGTGAACGGGAAGTTAAAGCCATTAAGTAAGCAATTAAGTAGAACGGAAGCTTACTTTCCCCGTTACAGTCGGTTACCTTCAAAGACAAAGGAAAAGGGCTGAAGACAAAACAGTTGACAAGACCAAACGTGAAACCGCGTGTCCGTCGAAATGCTGGAAGTGATGCGCATGGGAAATAGGCTCAAGTCTTACCAACACCAGAACCATCCCTCACGGCATGGAAAATCCACGTTAATTTGATGCAGCTTTGGTGCCGATAAACCTAAACTAAGGAACATGCTGACTTTTAAACACCTTGAGGTACCTCTTAAGTTGCACTAATAGACTTGTCAATTTGCCAAGTAGTTTACAGTTTTTCGTAATTACTTATAATCAGTTCATGTGCTTGTACATTTGCTCAATGCTAGGCCGCTCCCCGCAAAGATGCCTCGTTGTGATGTTTGAGCAGTGGAGTACAAGGGCTTTGAAACTACTCCCTACACGATGCGTTGAAAGCCTGACATTGTATATCCGTCAATGCACTATAACAACTTTTGTTGTTAAAGCGTCTCGAAACACAAAATTACTGCTCGCGATCAGACACATTAATCCTACCGGCCACTCATCCTGATTTTGCGTATTGAGGGCTTGGTTTTACTCAACGATCGAAGTGTCTATGTTAATTCACGGTGAGACTTGAATAAAAGGCCAAATTCGCTAACCATTTCCAGCAATCAAGTTGTCACTTGATGAGCAAAAAGAGTGTTTGTGCTTGTGGTCGTAAACACTTCTCAATGGGTTCGTTGCGGGTATCTCCAAGCAGCACTGATTTGAGAGCAACATGACAGAGAGGAGCAGACGCGGAAGTTTGCCTCGTGAAGTTATTTAAATCTGCTCCTTTCTGTTTGGCTCTGCCCTTAAGCCAGTGAGGGAATGCGATAGTCAGCACACTTCCCAACCCTCACAACAACCCCCAATCGAGGCAAAATTCCAGTGGTGTCAGATTTGCATGGAGGAACCAGCGGTGTTGCCGCCACACTGATTGACTGCCCTGTGAACGTTTTTTACTGCCAAACCGATCACGCAGGTGTTTACTAACTTCTCGCCCAATCCAGATTTTGCGCCGAGTTGCTAAGTTTGACCTCTTCCCTACGTCAGCAATACACATTCTGCCTTAATGGGATGTTTTCTTCCGTCTCCGGAGGCTCTTAGAATCTGCACTTTTTTCTCCATTCGCTCGAATGTGGCGGACCTTGTAGAAATCAAATTCCTTTAATATTATGTTCCGTGGGGTAAACGAAGATATTTAAATCACAGCTTCTACAGTTAACTCGACCATTATAAGTGTGTTTTCACAATCAGCGATAGAGGTACACGCTGGCCACGACACTACTCGTCTCTCATTATAGTTCGCATGTGCAATCAAATCACTGAAGACGACGATGTGATGATTGAGTCTTTGTTTAACTCTCTATTTCGTTTACCTAGGCGCTAAGCTATAAGGCAACTGTAGTTGCGGTGAGTAGGATGTTAATGAGTCCCCAAAACTCCTCTCCCCTCTGGCAAACAACACATACCCAGCTTTAATTTTTGCCTTATTCTGGCTTCAAGGTGGACTCGTGTAGGCGGACTTCCAGTCGTGACTAACTGCCTTACTATCAATTTGTGCCTAAGTAAAGCAGCCTGCTTTGAAACTGCGAATTTTACAATAGTGGAACCCTGCATTTACAGCTTATCTACAATTCCAACACAATTTGTAGGGAATGACATTGCAAATTAATCTTAAACATCTAAATGGCTTCTTATTGAACAAGATGACAAACAACTTGTCCCCTGTACTTTGAGTAAATACAATGCACTCTAACTTTCTGCCGTATTTTTCATCGTTATGCCTTCCAGAGGCAAAATTATGCCTTTGAAGGGTTCAGAGACATTTTTATGGAAGAAGGAAGGTCTAACACTCGGACAAAACGTGTATCGTTATGGATACAATGGTGCACTGCTCAAATCCAATCAGCGTCGGTTGGCGAGAGTGACTGGTTGCTTATGTACGATCCCTTTGTTCGACCACTCTCATTCCAATACAAACTTGGGCATGGCGGAACAGGGGTGGGTCAAATGATTCACCTCTCCCTGAGGTGATTTACTCCATTGACCAGTTTAACCCTGTAAGCATACACTCTTTATTTCCCTTTCAAATTTCTGCACAGAGAGAAACAAACAAGCAAGGTATTGACTAATCGCAAATCCTATATTGAGCATCCGCGCCGACACTCCCCGTTGCCAACATTTCCTATCCAGTTTGTACTGTACTAAAAACACTCACTAGTTAATGTCCTATGGTTGCGGAATTCCCATAAGATAGTGAAGGCCAGTGACTGCAACAGCACTGCAATTCTAATAGGTCTGACTTTTTGTGCTGTTGGAGAACCGTAATGGAGGACGGAAATGGGTCACACTCAAGCAGATTACGTATTGTTGAAATTCTGAAGAAATTGGAGGAATCACTTACAAAACAATTCTTTCAGCAAAAATGAAAATTGTACAACCAACACACCACATTAAGAACAATAGTGGTACAACTCTGATCAAAACCAACCTTTAAAATGTCCATGGCAGTGTAACTTTATAACGATCGCTGTTTGTTGCATCACCTGAATTCGCATTCCATGGTGGCGGTTACAAACTAGACTGACATGTCCAAGAGTTAAAGCTAGTTTGGCAGATTTGCTCTCATGCAGCACTTCACAAACAGGCCCACCAATATGGCCCTGAGTGAATGCGGCGACACAAAGACATACTTCAGATGCACTTAAGACCTGACTGCACGATACTTGCAAAATAACCTTCGCGGCAACTCATTGTTGTTGTTATTTATATTTTGCTTACGAGAAATTGTAGGTTAGTGGAGGTTCTGGCCGCATTGCCGTAGTCTGACAAATTGAGATTTGCCCATCCAAAAAGCAATGCCATTCCATTTACGGAGGTACAACGTAGTTTTCAAACAGTGATTCCTTACTACATGGACGGTCAGGTTTCCGATGCATCATGTGCATTCGTTCTGATTACAAGATTCTTACTTGCTCCAGTCACAGGCAAAAGCGAGCGATTTGAAAAATCGCCTAGTTCTTACACTTGAATGAAAGAGCTCAGCCGCCACAACCACCCTCCATCCCGATAACGGCTAACAGCTAACTGGAGGCAAAAGCTGTCTCTCCCTTGCAGTCTGCCTATGCGAATTTTCGGTAATTCTGCTCCAACTGTTAACATGCTAGTGGATTAGATGTGACTGGAAAAAAAATTAAAATAAATGGCGTGAATTTACCGTTCGTTTAGCCTGGGATAAAACGCAAACCTTGATGTGCTTAATCTATCTGTCAGACAGCCAGCACATTGTGAAATAAAGGCATACAATCAAAACATTTATCATAGATTGCCACTAAAAAAGAGACTTTATTAGAATCCGACAAATAATAATGCGTAAGTGGGAAGACAAGCCGACTACTTTCGAGTAAATGGATTGGAAAAAATGCTGATGAAATGCATGCAGAGCAGGAAAGCAGATTGTCTGATCAGTATCGCTTTTATTTCTTCTTTCACTCCTGAGCCGTTTTGGTGAAAAAGGAGAGCCCATGAGCGGGAACCAGTTTGATATTTTCTGCTGGTCCACTGTCATCGTGTTTCAACTCTACTCCGCGCTGCCCTTCCACCGGTGAACATTCGCCAACACTATCGCTGCTCACCAAAAGATGTTCTACCATTTGATGACCATTCGATGATCGGAATTTGTGCGAAGGCGCATAGAGGCAGAGAATTGTGACCACGTAGGCGTTCCACATGCCGTAGACGCCTGTAATAAATGCTGATGTATATTCAATACGATGGCTGCCCCACTTCCATCGCTCCTCGTTTGCCTAAAGGAAGGCATACCAATGAAACGACAGAGCAAATGAATGACGCCGAATCAGAGCACAAGGCTTACCCAGTGATTGACACAGCAGCGCACTTATTATTGCTGGTGTACGTGACACCTTGGGATTAAACACGGATTCATGCAACACAGTTATGCATAATCCATAACAGTGTCAATAAGTGTGCTCTCTCTAAAATCCCTGTTGTTCGCAACCCTTAAGCAATGTCACAACCTACTATGCCTTCCGTGAAAGTTGAAAAGAACGATCAGAGGTTTGTAAATTAGGCATGAGTTCATGAAACTGCACAAATGAAGCCCCTCTGGCATTAACAACGAGACTACCCATTCTTAGACGAATTTACTCTTGAATTGTCTGTACCTCTCACCTTCCATGTTTTGCACAATGATAGCCTACTATAGGATTCGAAATGATTTGGAGAGAGGTGAAGTAGGTCGGAGTAAAGGTCCACCTTGGAATGTGAACCAGCCTTTCCTACGAATCTAGCAAGCATTGCTGCTATGAAAGACCCATGAGACGTGTACGAGAATACACTGGATTCGAAAAAGTCGCTCATATACTGAAATTCTCAGACACACAGAGCAGTGCACATAAGAACCTAGAAAATGCCTTATAAGATGAGGTAAACTGGACACAAAAAACAACTTCACCACCTCCGACATGACCTTTAGATTTTGTTACGCCCATTCCAGTGGTTAACTTCGCAGCCATTTTATTCGCACGAGCGATTTTTGGACGGTGATGGCGGTAGGTACCAAGCCGGTAGACTTTTTCTGGTCATCAAGAGAATAAAGGTTGATAGTACCTCCGATAGCTTTAGATGTTAGCAACAAACACAAGGAGAATCAAATAAGCTAACTGTATAAGAAAACCAACCTGACTGAAGATGTAAAAAATAACGGTGAGGGCAGCGCAGAGAACGGTATAAATGAGAAGAGCTGTGAAGCGATAGATGAGCCCACTGTAGTAGACTCGCTGATTAGCTTGCAAGGAGGGAAGTAGACGACGTTTCGTGAAAATTTGCCAAAGTGCCTGGCAGATCAGCGCAGCGAGGTAGAGGAAGTAAGCAGCGGCACACAATCCACCCAAAATAACGCTTGAGTAGCCTAGTTTCGCTGCTACGGGATGCGACCAAATGCTAAGGAGAGAGGGAGCAGCCAGTATGAAAATTTTGTGGTTACGCACTACTTTGCTTGGTAAAATGACTAAATATTTTAGAATGCTGCCCCAAATTATGCTTTTTTAGCAAAGCAAGCACCCGTGATATAAGTGACCAAGGCAATGCACAAGAAGATCCAACCAGCTAAATGCATGTAAATGCAAACTGACTCAAAAACCTATCTGTTTAACTACTTCATGTTGTGCATCAGTGTAGCGTTATTTGGTTTTACCAAAGTATACAGATAACCTTGATGTAAAATGCGCTAAAGTAAGCTTAAGCTACTTAAAGAAAACGAAATAGACAAACAGTTTCTGAAATCCGCAAGAATTTCAGACCAAGGCTGAGAACGGCTGCTTAAACAGAGTTTCAACTTCGATAAAACTAACGTCCAACAAATTAACTCAAACAGGTATGATTGGATTCAAAAAGGGCGACATTCGCAGGCGGTTCAACTATTTTTACCACAACTGAGAACGGTACGGACGAAGAAGACTGATCTACTTCACCTGTAAAATGGATTATGTAGTTGGACTCCACGTTCAGCTAGTTCAAATATACTCATTGCCGAGCAACAGCCACCAACAAGCAGCAATTTCGGCCAGTAATACACAGAAAGGCCAAATCGTGTCGGATGGCGGTGACCGTAGGTTGAATCCATCAGATGCTCGCCTGTAAAGACCAGCCAGAAGCAGGCTAAGGTTGCGTAGAACGCGCCTTGACGAATGTCAGAAAGTACAAGCCAAAAGGAGACATCAAACCTACGAAAGAAGCGGATTCGATCAGCCACTACCACGGGGAAACTGAGCTTATAACATAGACCTGCAGTAATGCAGGTAAGTAGGTTTTATTTTTTAAAAATAGTCATAAAAATTTAGACCAGTTGTAGGCATAACAATTTGCACGGTCGATCAAAATGATCTAGCAGCGGAACACGTAATTGTGAGAAAAGAGAAAAAGACTTACTTAAGGGACAACCACTCAACAGGACAATCAAAAATGCAGAGGACCAAACCGAGGGCAAAGATTGTGCGCTCCATTAGTGTAGGCGAGCGGTCGAGCTCAAGAACACGGCGCCAAAAGAATACGACCGTACACAACGCAATCGGGAACAGAAAAGTTTTCAAAGCGAACCACACCTAGTAAGGGAAGATAATCTGAGAATGATCCTGGTAACAAGACGAGCGACCAACCTCTAAAACCTATTTTCATGTCAATAATAAAATTATAAAAGCCATGAAATGCACCTTTTTCCGCGACAAACGTCTTATGACTTCGCAAAACACGAGCATTACCACCAGGATGTGTAGCATGAAAGGAAAGACCGCCTTAAACTCTCAAGAGGTGGCTCAAGTCATTTTGCCCTCAGCCAACATCGGTTTGGTGGGGGAATTGTAGCTACTGGTGAGTCACCAAGTGTGCAAACAATCACCAGGACGTTTGCCGTAGCTCTGAAATGTGCGCATTTCAGCAGACATAGGAAACGACTTCCAAGCGTTCCGACGAGTTCGGTTTTTCCTACAGTGTAGTGAGTTATGACGCCGACGAATTAGGAGGAGGAGCAATTATAGGTATGAGGTAGTAATATTCGTGTTTCAACAAATTTTAAGCACTAGTAGTTTTATTAAAGACGTAGACAGAGGAAAGTTTGCAGCGTGCTAGATTCCGTAGGCCCGCTCGCCTGAACACAACGCTCAACCCAAATAGGTGCAAAATACTTTTTTGCACGATTCAACCAGCGTAGCAGAGAGTGACCAACTCATTGGTAACGTTATTTTGCTTCAGCAACCTTATTAGTATACACGCACAGGAATCCATCGAAAAAACTAACTAACTAACTTTTAGATTTACAACTCACTGAAGATTTAGAGCTTTTCAAACCCTTAGCTATAAGAGTGTCCTCGGAAAAATTCAGGAATGAAAGTAAATCAAAGGTCTCAGTGCTTTATTCAAAACATCTCAAAAAGAACACATCTTCAGAAGTAAGGTCAGTATATACCCTTAACGTGATTGCTTTGTTCGGCATCGCGACCATAAACGCTTGTTGAAAGCAAGGCACAGTTTACAACAGCATTTAAATAGCTTAATGACCCAAAATTCTACCTCTAAGCTGCACAATGATCACGCTAACAGATCAATTATCGATCCTATGAAGAGTAACAATAAATGAATGACTTATAAAACTGACCATTGTGAAGCCGCCGTTTTGATGGATTTCTACCATCCAAACATCTTGAAGAACACCAATTCCTTGGTTTATTCCTTTGACAGGATCGTGAGGAATCCGGATATTGACTAGGTAGTTTTGATGGTGGCAGCTGCCCAAAGTGAAAAGGGGCATCACTTCGCAATCATAAAACCCGAAATCCTCATTGGATTTATGCCCTGCCTCACTCGCGGCACTCTTTTCAAGACTGCAGAAAAGTGGGCGTATCTCTTGGGAGCGCGCTATCTCCTTCCAAGCCTCTGGCGGATCACCGTCATTGCGATAGCCCAGCCTTACGTCAAACGTCAACCACGCATCTGACTTAACCTGTTAAAAGAGCACCGCCTAATCATCATAAGAACTGTGGGCAAATATAATCGACCATCTGAAATGCATACCTCTATGTCATACTTCCAAGCGATTTCGAGCCAAAGTACGGCGATTACTTGCTGAAACCAACGTGTCATCTTGAGATCAACCCCCGACCTAGGATGCGGAAATTGGGCAACGAAAACAATATTTTCGGCAGTTATATTCATTTCATCCAAGGGTCCATCAACAACATTTTTGCAAGTATAATTCGAGAGCTGTGGTCTTAAGAAGAACCATTTGTTAGCGAACGTTTCTGGAGTACTTTCGTTATCAATACATTTTGACAAAAGAATCTGTTCGCTTGAATGCGGCGCTGGTGAGATAAGACCACCGATGAGAAAGAATGCAGTTTGTGCAAGTAAAATGACGACGCCGAACGCTATTAGCTTCTTCGAATTAAGTGTTTCCAGAATGACGCCAACCATGCCCTAGGACAAAGATGAGAATAATCATGAATGCCACATTCAATTTGATCTAATTATGATTAATATACAAGAAAAAATAATTCGAAATCCCAGATACGCTTGGAGATCAAACAATTTCTAAAGAATACACGACTTATAACCTCATTATCTGGTGTTTGTGGAAACTATTAAGGGTGAAAAAAACAGCTCGAAGACAAAAAGAATAATCGAAAACCCACTCTTCAGCACTCGAAGCGATACCAACCCCAGAAACGGACACTTCTGAAACGACCTCCAAGCCGCTTATTCAAGCCAGCGTAACTCGAACTTGCCCGGTTATTGGACTATCGTTGACCCCACTACTATTGGTTGACCGAGCATATCTGTCCATTTAGCATGTAGATAATTGGTGCACTAGGATCACCGGCGCGATAGAGGGCAGAAAACATCATCTAAGCTTCACACGTAAAATACTAGCGTCGCACGAATAGCTAAGCGAGACAAGAATCATTTGAATCCGTTTACAAGGCTGAATTAGGCAGGCTGTTTGCATCATATACTTTTCCTTAGTTTTTAAGAAGCAAGGGATACAGTTACCTAAAGAATTAAATTCACATCACCTAAAGTTTAATTTAAGTTCCTGTTTTCAGTCCATCAATTTGCTTGTATTGTTGGCATTTTTTAAGGATCTAATACGCTTTTTTGAATTTTACTCATTTTTGATAATATATGGATGGAAAAATAAGTTTCGCACAAAATACGGCCCTAACTGTAGGTCTTTATTGACTTGGTACTTGTTGGAATGTGTTTGATATTTAGCGGATGTATAGGCACACAGTACAAGGTGTTGGATATTGAATTTACAACTTTCTCTTCAAAGTACAGTAGTGGGGCTTTCCGCTTTTGCAGGCTAGGTTGTTGGCTGTTTGATACATTCGACCCCGGTGATCATACTTGGATTAAGAGGCATATATTTGTTTCGGTTATGGTGTTTTGTGGAGTCTCCATCTGGTGCATATTTCCTCTCTTATTTGATGTTTGGTCTTTCCCTTATGGGACGTGGGAAAGCTACATTTTCTTTTCTTTGTTGTCCTCGAGTTTCTGCTGTTTTGATGCTTACTGGCTGCTGTTGTTTTATCAGCCTTTAGGTTGACGAAATGAAGATTTTTTTGCTTAGGTCTACGCATCAGGTTACGCAACATTTGTATATTCAGGTCCATTCAGTTTTACGCATTTCTTTTTAGAGTTGGAACAATCTGGAGTTTTGAAAGACTAAGCTACATCTGAAAACATGGTTCGCCTCAATTTCGCTTTATACCCGGTTTAGACACAATCATCATATCTGATGTCCTTTATTCATGGACTCCTTGAAAAGTTGGTTGTATCCATTTTTACCGCTGCATATGTAGTAGCAGCAAGGAGGTGCGCGAAAGGAAACGAAGGCTACTGGAACGCGACTATACTGAAACGGAGGAAGTACTGAATGTGTACTTGAACGGTACTTGCTGTGTTTGCTGGCCTTCTTTTTCCTTCAAATTATTCTAAGTTACCATGCCTACTTTTCCTGTTTAGAAAAGTATGATGAGGTTACGCAGATCCTGAACATATATCGCGACGTTTCAGAGGACCTTCAAAGTACGCTTGGATTTCTGTGGCTTTATTTTTTATTTTGTAGAAAATCGTAGGGCAGTTCAAAAAATGAAACGTGATATTGGTCAATGCAAATGTCTGTTAAGTTTTAACAGAGAAGAACTACGGCGTCTTTGGTTGGAGTTAGTTGAGCAACGGCGCTCTCTTGAGCTTATTGAAGTGCTCGATCGTGTAAAAAGCGCACCTGAGGTCTTGAAAAATTTAATCGCAGCTAAAGCTTGGCCCGAAGCTACCGAATACTTGCTTAAAATGACCGAAATAATGACCAAGGAGGTGGAACATGTGCCGGCTTTGGATACCGTGAAGGCTGAGCTGTCTGCCAAGAAGAAGGTTGTCATTTTGAAAATTCACTTATCACTTTTGCCACACTATTTGTATTCGCTTATTTGTTCCACTTTTAAAATAGCCCAGTTTTTCTACTATAGCATCTAAAAGATCTGTAGTATACTGTTCGCTGCTAAATAGCTAGTGTCTTTCTGTCGAATTGTGAATTGGAAGTAACTTCATCCGGTGGTTATGCGTGCACGCAAGTTTTGGGTGGTTGCAATTGAATCCACTAGAAAACTATTCTGTTTAGTTCGGAGGACTTTTACTGTCCTATTCTTTTTCTTTTAGATTCTGACTGATGAAATGCGTTCAACTCTTTTTTTCCTCGTGTTTAATCAGCCGATAGCTTTAGCGATCAGCGATAGGAATAACCGTTACAATACGGGTGTAGGAATGCAGTATTCACGACCGTGAGTATTTTGATCTAAGTGCCTATTCAAATTGGCTCTGTGGTTATAGCCAAAGGTTGACTGACTTCATTCAACTGTTTCTAACCTTTTTAATATTTTGTGGGTTTTCTGACCCCGACTGTTTTTCGAAAATACCAGCGATAGGGACATTTGGAGACATTTGTTTTCTGCAACTTAGCTTCAGGTGCTAAGTTTAAGTGTGTGATTTTGGGATGAAATGAACTTTACTTGTTCCAGTATGACATCACACATCGCGGATAATTTGTCTGATTTCTGCTCGTCTCGTCGGGGAAGCCAGTTAGTCGATGCTGTCTCGGCCCTCTGTGGTCTTCCACTCTCTGATTGGCGCTCCCTTTCATCCGACCCACCGGAAGTCGATTCAAGTCTCTTCAGGGATCCCCTGGCAGTGGCCGGAAGCCTTCTTTCTAAGCACCTAGGTAGTGATTCCCTTGCCTCGTCGAAGGAAGCTAAAAATAGAACGATGCACCATCCTTATGGAGCCAATCGAACCCGTGATTTCACGGATCGCATGATAACTGACAAAGGGCAGTGGGCGGAGAACATAGTCGCATTAACTCATTGTCTGCACCGGTTACAAAAGCTGTCCCAGGTTAGTTTTTCTTCCAATAACTGATGTTTTTGCCTGCCCTCGTAAAAATAATCGTACGCATATTTTTATCTGATTTCACCAGAATGGTGAATCAACGATTGAAAGGCTTGATTGCTTGGCACCTTTCACTCGCATTGAAAGACTTTGGAATACAAACCGTAAAAGGTCCATGGTTCTCTCAACCTTTGCGGTCACAGTTTTTCATGATGCCTTCAAATTTTAATAGACGATATTTTGTTTAAAAATGAACTTTTAAAGGAAGCGCGACGCATCCAGTTAGATCACTCAGCTTAACAGCTTCTCGTGGCGATTTCAAATTGAAAATCATTGCAAAGAATTTGACAGGTGAAGCCATCGCTGCAATCATTTTGCTCTGAAGGCTACTAAAGCCTATCGCCTTAAACTACCATAAAGCTTTATTGCACATTGTATTCCGTTCGGTGCATTAAGTTCTCGGAACCTGGTCTATTTGGATTCGCTATTTACTTAGCTAACTTCTTTTAAATTCCAAAACAAGAGACGATAGCGCTGCACTTAATCTCATTCGGTGAGGAATTTCGTGTGCGCACTATGATCAAGGGCGTTTTAGTTATTGCTGGTTGCGTTGGTCAAACTCACTTTTTGCAATTTCTGTCGAATAGCACAGTGTTTACGTATTTGCAAAAGACCACTCTAGATTTGTATATGGATGTTTTTCGGCAGCTAATAGGTCTCTTGACGATTACAAATTTCAATTCAACTGGATTGTTTTCTTTTCATGATAACTGCTCTAAAGTATACGCAAGGGGAAGTAGGGTGTCATGGTGTTTTCCTACAGCTCCACTTGCTTCTTTCTTCGAACCAAATCTTCGCACATGGCTTCGGTTTGTACATTATGACTCATTTATTCATCCTCTTTATTGGTGGAGGGCTGTTTATAGTGAAAGATATTTGCTAATTGCATGGGAGGGACTAACAGTGCTCAATATTCGAAATAGTAGATTTTTTGTGAGTAAGACCTTGTTAGCCTCACAACGTCTCCCTATCGTCTTTTGAACAGGCTTTCTCTTCGTGGCGTCGCAAGACACAGAACGATTTTTCGGGAATCCCTACTTCAAAATCCACCCAGAATAACAATGAAATATTTGTGCCAGGATCTGGATTGATTGCAGAGATTCATAATTCCATAACTCTTCCAGCTGTTGCGGAGATCGAACGCACGCAAGTTCTTTGCCTGGCTTTTAACCCATCGTGTAAAATATCATACGGTTCGTAATTGATGAGTGGTAGACGTTCTTTGCCATGTCCTTTTGAGTGGCTAGCAACTTAGCATGCTACTGAATTAAAATTTTGGTTTGGAATGTGATTACGTATGGGTTTGGGCACATTTGCATTTGTGGGCGTTTTTCTACCATGTTTAACTAACCACGTCAATGAACTGATGGATCATCGTGGGAACTTACCGCTTGATCCAGTTGTTTTAATAACAGCTACTGGTCATCCATTCTCCTAAACGTACCCATTCATCGGTCACTTTTTTCGGTTTCAGTTCCGCCACACAGGGGGAAACAGCTCCATCTTCCACCCTAGCCGACCCAACTTATTTGGTTGAGCTGTTGGAATTACTCTTTCCTGCTCTTTGCATGCACTTCAATGCCTTTATGCTGGTCTTAAAAACAACGAGGAAAATTAAAGAGGTTCGTGATTACTTGTCTATTTCCGCTTTCATCCTTTACGCAGGGGCCTGATGTTCTGAATTTAAGAACATGAGCAGCTTTTAAGGCATGTATACGGATTCAATATCGTTTCGTTTCCTTTGCCATTTTAGCAAAATCCTGATGTTTCCTTCCAATTTTCGGATGTACTTTCGGAGGAACACATTTGGGAGTACATTCAAATAGAAGTGAGTATCAGTCCACGTGAAATTTAAGCAGATCGGTTAATGAGGTTCCATTATAAAATGGTGCTTTATGTGAATGTGATAAAGGTATAAGACCCCTGGCAATTGGTGGTTACTTTTTTGGTGGAATTTATTGTTGGATGCAAAAGGTACTGGATGTACGTGTGTACTGGTGGCCGGAACATTGGAACTTCAGGAAGGTCACTTTGTGCACACATTTATGAATGATTCTGACCTCATCGTGAGCACTAGTATTTTTAAGGTTGGCCTCCATGTGGCACTGTTCTGTAAGGTGTACTTAGCGCCAATGTATAACGTAAACGTTCTAAAATTTTTTGTAAATTAAAGTTTTGGCCTGGAACCTTCGGCACTTTGAAATTGAACTTTTTTGGATTCGTAAATATCTGCAACATCTTTAAACTTCATGGATTAAAAGTAACACCTTCCTATATCACCGTATTAGCTCGCTCTTCTCATGCTTACTGGCCAATTTTGTACGTATGCAGGTTCAAACTGTTCTCTCCGCTCATCTATCAAACCAGAAACCTTTAAATAATCCTGCGCTTCCAATGACTGACAATCGCAGTTCTTCAGCATCAGTAGCAGCGGTGTCTACTTTCAATGCGAGCAAGTTGGATCTAAATGCGTTAATGGGTAAACGAAAGGGGGCTCTCCCTGCCTTCCTCTCAGGCGTCACCGGCGATTCAAGTGGTTCATCAAACGCGCATCACAGTGGACTAAATGATGGATTTTCGGCATTCAACAATGGCGAATCCTTTTTTAGTTTCTCTAAAACGGCTCACAGTCTGAGTTTAAACAGTTACCTTCGTGAAAACCACATCAGCATACCTTCTGCAAGTTTACATCTTACTAATTTTTTAGTCAACAGCGATAGTGTGCTGAGTATTAATTCTAACCTGAGTAAGAAAAGTTATTTGGAGGAACAGTGTTTTGTAACAACTATGATTCAATTCAATTACAAAAGGAGCACTGTTTAACAGAACTCAAGCGACGATTTTCTTTTGGGTCCCTTGGTAGGACTGTTGTGGTTTTTTATTCTTTTTAACTTCCACTCAACATAGGGTCGTTTATCAGATGATTCAATTAGTACAAAACCATTGACTATGGAGGATGGTGGTGGAGTGCAGGGGGAAACGATTTCGTCCTACCCAGTCGTCTGTCATCCCTCAGCTGGAAATGTGAAGAGTATCTACTCCTTGGTGCTCGCTTTCGCGCGCCATATTGAAACGCAGCCTGTGTCGTCGCAAGGCCTGGTTCATCGAGCCCTCAGCAACGATGGAGATGGGACAACTCTGGTCACCACGGCTAACGAACGACGTCCACCTCCGGCCGTGCCTTTGCGGGAAAATAAGAACACTACAGGTCCCACCTTTATTGTTCAGGGTCTCAGGGGCGCTATCTTTGCTATGGGAGCACAGAAAATGTTACCAAAGAGGTACATAAAGCTTTGGTTTGGATACTCTAGACGTCAAAACAACTTTATATTTAAGGAGGCGCAAAAGTGTGCCATGGAAGTGAAATAGATAGCAAGAAATATTGCTTGCTGGGACATTTTAAAAGAATTCGCAAGTGACATCCATCATTCCGATTCGCGAAATTTCTGATTTCTTCCGTTGTGTTCTCTGTTTTTCAAAACAATCGGTTGTGCAAATATGAAACGAAATCCTAGTTCATTAATATGTCAGATCTTACCAACGTTGAATTCCAGCACGCATTTACCGGGTGAATTGTACTTCACATTACCGAAATGAGTTATTAACATTGGTGTTAATGATCATTGTTGAAGAGAACACCCGAGAATTAAATGACTCTCCACTTTCGAAACTGTTCTGGTTCGGTGTTTTTAGCGCTCAAGTTGCATATCATTTGATGATTTGTTGGGGCAGATTACATTTACAACGAATATCGAAGTGCCATCGATCCTTTATATGGCCTTGCATGATTATTAAGCTTCACATTTTGCGTAACAAGTGTCGATATCCTCTTTATGTGGTACTGGTTTCGTCCATTTGCTGTAAGTTAGCAGTTAGTTTTTGTATGGACTGCTCATTACTCTTGCTTTTCTTTGTACTGACTCATTTCAGTGAAATGAAGTCGTGTGACAACTTGGCGGGTGATGCGTATGTTTTTTTTGTGCTGAGCATGACTGCTCTATGCCTACCATCCGGTTGCATGAGCCCAACTTGGATGCTTTGGACGCTAGCAATTTAGTCAATTAAATAGTGCCGTTGCCGTAATTGAATGAGGCCATTTTTAATTTGTAGGCTTACGATTCGGTGCCAGCTGCGGGTGTTTTTGCTCAGCTTCATCGATCGCCTTTATTTACCAAACGCGGAAGTGGAACTGCGTCAACCGATTGTGCTCGCAGTCTCGAGTAAGGTCTTCTTCTTCTCCATTAAGTCAATATGGTTTTCTCTCTTATGGCATCTGCACCGACTAAGGGACGAGGAGCGATTTGTTCCTACTTAATCAGACTATTTTGCTCCAGGCCCAGATGCATTGACGTCCACCGTTTCTCAACATATACAGCGAGAGCTGGGCCTCCAACGTCCCATTCTCTCTGTAAGCTCGCGCAATTTCATTCTGCTTTATTGGTGTGATATGCATACACATTGACCATGGAAGCAAAAAAGCGACTGGGCGCGCGATTTGCTCAGCGTCAAGTCGCCTCATCCTTTCATTTTTGTTATCACATTTCAATTTCATTTATTTCTATTTCGGTCAAAAGGATGGGTTTGTTAGCTTTTTTTCAGATAATCAAGCTAACCACCATGTAATTACTTTTAATCGGTATTTTTAGATGGCGATCTTCAACTATAAAATTACTTTTTCTCGATACTTTACACACCTTTATTTGATAATCGGTGTTTTATAAATAGCACCTTTGAGTAATAATTGCTCTTTACAAAAGCAATGCTTCATCACTCTAGGTTGCCTACCTGACGAATCATGCCCTTGGGGAAAGCAAAGGCATGGCCATATCTCTTCCTGATTATGCCGCAAACTGCGCAAAAATAGGCCTCTCTGTCCTTGAGACCTTCCTCACCTGGGCTTCATCAGTCTATAAAAGTCTGTTCTTCCTTTTTTGACGTTTGTTGGTTTTCCTTTACTTAACGAGGAGTATAATTTAAAAAGTGTTATATGATTGTCTTGCCCATATTGTTGACTTCATGTTGCGTCCGTTAGATTCTGACAAATGCTTTTATTGAACTTTTACCGTTTTTGATTATTATTGAATTAATTTGGCAATTTCCGTAATTCCTTTTTTAGGTATAAGTGTCTCGGAAGCCAATGGAACAACGATTCCCAGTGCAGAATGGGCACGAGACAATGATCTTAGCAGGTTTTGGACGTGAGTTCGCTTCTAGGTTCACAGTCACCCACTGGTGGTCGTTACTAGAATCTCAGAGTGTCACATGGCATACGAAACTACCGAATACTAAATAGGCCATCGTTTTTGAGTTGCCATACCACATACCACTGCTTTGCACTTCTCAAAAAAAGTATTCTGCGTGGATCATTTTTAAGGTAAAAAGGTTGAACAGTAGCTAGTTTTTCTAGCTTTGTTTAGCTTTTAGCCACATTTGTCTCTTATGTCCAACGTTGCTATATTTCCTAATTAGTCGACAGTCGAATGATTGCCTCGGCATTTAGAACAAATATTCTTGTTTCCGATGCCTTGGTGGCTGATTCTGCCAACTTGAGTATTTTATTCATTCGCATTCACATTGATTAATTTCGCAGAAATTTCCCTGTTTGGCAACGTATGATGGCGGCAGATGCCTTTGCGACTGTCAACACAGTGCACAATGTTGGAAACCCTCACGATCCTCAGCTCGGCATTGGAGTGAACAACAACAGGTCAACAATTTTTGGCGATCCTTGCCATCCTTCTACCGCTGGTTCGAGTCTCAGTTCGGCGGCAGCCATTGTGTTGGGTCTCTCTAACCTTGGGATCAACGGGCGCACCGACTCGACATTCGCAGGAGGAGCTAGTCTGCAAGCCATCCCTTTCGCCAATTCTGTGGGGCAGAGCAGTGGTGTGGAGGATGATCAGGCTGATGGGGGTGGCAATGGTGCTGCTGTAAGCAATGGAGGAATTTCGAAGCAGGAGGACATTGTACGTCCATTTTTATGAATATTGACTTCTAAGGTGTAGTAGGTGGTGATTTTAATGGTAGCGCAGTATTTTTAGTTAACTCTGTAAATCTACCGCTATAGACTTGCCCACTACCGTTTTCTTGGCTAATTTTAGCTCCTCCATGAACGGGAGGCAACTCGTCTGGCAGTGAAAGAGATGGATAACTTGCTTCACATCATTGGTGACGAAGTCGGCTCAAGCACTGATTTTTGTCTACCCACTGCCGGTATGCTGACCATTAAGAGCATGGGACGTCTACGCGAATCGGTGGTATGCTCGTGTGGCGTGTGCATTTTCTGAAACCACAAAAACATGTAAAATGGTGTCTTTGGCGGCTTTTGATTGTGTTCACTTTTGCGGTTTTACTGCGTTCATTTTGCTCTAGCAATTTTTTTTGACAGAATAACTTCTGTTGGTCTTCTCCTAACAGTATTCTTGATCTATTGTGAGAAGACGAGTCGCCTAGCCTTAAGTCTTTACGTGGTTCTTGCATCATAGCGACTTCACGATCAATTCGATTGCCGTGTTCATCTGTTGCTATGAGAAAATAGGTCTTGGATCGCTGGTAGTAAAAAGAGATAAAATTGTTGGTTTTCAAGCACTGGTTGGAGCGGTGTGTGCAGAACTGGCTAGCATGGCTCGAGGGTAATGTGTTGGACCTTGACATGGCACCGTTCACCAAAGCTGCTGAGGAGCTCACTTCCCTCTCCGACGCTACCCTTCTCACGGTTTACCTCGACGTGCGTGTGCAGGCCTACAACCTTTTTGGCAATCTTCCTCGAACGGCTAACTTCTGGTGCCCTGTGGACGAAGTAGACGTAGACCCCGAAGTTACTCGCTGTCTTATTTACTGGGATCAACTGCAGGAGGTTTTGATTCATTCATTCTGTCCTCATGAAATCAGGCACGCATTAGAAGTATCATTTTTTAAACATTTGTTGCAATTGGGCTGATTTCGTGGGTGCTTAACAAATTAATTGTAACTCGCATTCAACTTCTTTTCAGATTCATTTTTGATGGGCTCGGAGATTTCATATCGCAAATATTTCTTCGTCTTATTCCCCAAATTACACGAATGAATGTGAACGGAAATCGAAAAATGTGCCGAAATATCTACAAGTTACAACAGGCTTTGGCTTTATTGACTGAAAATCATGAATCTGATTTGATTCGAGTTAAGCAGCTCTACGAGCTATTCTATTTAAATCCTGAGGTTCGTTTTAGCTTATCTGCATCCTACCATTCAATACATTACCTTTCTTCACCTTTGTTCCAATTTTTCGCATTTAAAATTTCTTCGTGTTTTTCAGGCTGTGGTGAACAGAGTAATCGAGCAGGGAGTTGCATTTGAGGTTGGAGTTTACCAAAACCTTCTTAGACTCTACCAGCGGAGTCATCCATCGCACGATCACAGTCGAACCGATGACAGTATTACCAAACTCGCGCAGATTATTCGAGCCTGAGACTTGTGGCAGCCTCTTCCATAAAGCAGGTCTATCTCATTACTTCTTTTTTGCCATTCTCTGATCTGACACCTTGATTGACTACCCATTTCCTTCTGTATCGACTTATGCTTAATAAACTTCCTTTTGACATCCGACTTCTGTGCGCTTAAATGTCTGCAATTTTTGTCTCTTCTTCGTATGCATTTTGTTTTATGGTGTACAGTTAATTCCAAAGTTATAGCTTACCAAAAAAGTTAGAAGTAATTCCTCTTCCGGTTGAGTTTCTCTTCTCGGTTGTGGCATTGGGTGATGTAAGTGCCAAATTTTAAAGGTAATTCTGAAGACACATTGGCAGTCGAGAGGTATATACATTCGTAAATTTTTTCGTTGTGCTTCCCTGCTGGGCGGCCTATGTAGGCTGGTTGTGACAGGTGGTGCTACTTTCACCTGGACTAGGGCCGAGGTGTCACAGGGCGTGTGAGGCCTGAAAAAGTTAGCCGGTTTTGATTAATCTGGTCACTCTTGAAGTCTGGGGGCAATCTGAGTCTACGTTGGTCATGTGTGCACTCCAAGTTATGAGTAGCCACAATGGTTTGCATTTGTATGTCAGCTTTAGGGATCATTTTAGCTTTTCAGCCCTGTAACATAGTTCAGCTTTCCAAGTTGGGAGAGAGTTGGGGTGGAACTGCAACTCGATTAATTTGTTTTGCTTGAGGCACTATACTATACTTTGCTTTCCTCCCATAGAGAATGGATGTAGACCTATTCAACACGAAAACAAGGGAACTATGCCTTGACAGAAGACGCGTATTTAAAGGCACCTCACTAGAGCAGCTGTATAATAGGTGAATTTTATAAAATATATACGTTCATTCTGTTATGCTTAAAAGGTGGCATTTTTGGTGAGTTTTTTTGTTTACTTGTGTAACGAAACTAAGATGTTTCTACTAATATCTCAAGATTAGCCAACTTACTTTGACCCTTTGAATTCAATGCAGAAACTGTTAGGCCTTCGTATCCTCATCCTGAACTCTGAAATGTTAGCCTTTGTGAGTTCAACTAATAAGTAGACTTCGATTTCGAAACAAATACTTGCAAAGTTTTTGGTCCATTTAGGTACCTCAATCTCAGAGCACTGCTACCTTTCCGTGAGTCAGATCATTGACCATCTTTCAACGAGTTTTTTTCGTCTTCTCTTTGGCCTTTACTTCCACTTTTCAAGGTCCTGGATGCTGTTCTGACATCTGTCCTGGATGCTATCGAAGTTTGTCCTGTGTGGATCGTATTTGCCGGGTCAAAATACTTAACCAAAAGCGAGGTAAAACACCAGCCGACCAGATTAGGGAGGTGTGCAATTTCATATTTCGTCTTCCCTATTTCCTCAATCTTAGACTTTTGCTTGTCGATTTTGCCGAGTGAGAACAAGCAAGAGGCTCGTTATATCTAAGTCCATCCCTATTCCGTAGGTTCATATTATTCTACTACCAATTTCAGCTTACGTAGGAGTCGCAAACCGAGTGCACCATCAGAAATTTTAGGTTTGTCGCCTCTCTCCGCTGTTAGGTGAGTTTGTGATTGCCTTTCACATACCAATTTGCATTTACTACTAGTGCTGGAAAGTTGCGAAAGAGGAAAAGAAAGAGAAAGGAGTTAATGGAGGAGGTGCGCCTTCAGCAGCCCATCGCCAAGAAAGCAAAGAACAATAAATCCTCCTTAAACGACTTTTTGAACCTAATCTCTTGATGCGCATTGGCTTACAAAAGTAAAAACTGCTTTCCTCTGCCAACATTCCTGTTTTGATTGTGATTTTCTCCACTTCTGATAATGCTTGATTATGTATTAAAGAATACGCTTTCATGCATTCTATTTCAGGTTAAATGGAGGAGAAAACGGTGAGTGAACCATATAACGTCTAAGCACTTCCAGTTCGTGTTTTTACCCTCGTTTCAAGGTTGCCGGTATCAGTCCTCGGCACAACTAGTTTTTGCTACTGCAAATTTTTTTTTCTTTACATAGTACTTCGCGCAAATAGACTAGTCCATTGTAGCTTGTCTTTGAGTTTTAATAAAGACGACTTCTACTGCCGCAGTTGCCCAGCGTGTCAATTATTAAATCGTTGACAATGCAGTTCGTTCGCATTTAAAGTTGCTTGATAATTGGCACGACTTTTTGCAAACTCAGAACAAACAAGACCTTCGCGAACGGATGAAGTTGCTGTTGGCAAGCCTTCCCCCTAGTTTACGGTTGAAATATTCCGAACTTCTCATACAGTCGGTACGTTACTGTCTGGTGTAAACAACAATGTGTAATTGCCGTTGATGCCTTAGTAGGCGCTGACACACGAGTTTTACAAAGCTGCAAAAGGTGTCTCCATATATGTGAGCTTCTCCACTGAGCCGGACACGAGCAAACTAATTCTTGCCGCTCTGGAGGAGGGCAAAGTTGTGGTCGTGCCTCAAATCATTACTGAGAAGCGAGGACGCAACTATGAATTGAGCACTCGTTTGGGACTTATGCGCATGCGACGACTGTATAATCTGGATCAAATCCTTTCCTGGCCCCCCAACAAATTCGGCGTTAGGGAACCCCCTCAACCTTTGCATGATGTAGACCAAGACGATGCTATCACTCACTGTAGGTTTTTTCCTAACTGCATACCTGTTTGGAAATTATTTCAAACAGCTTCATGATTTTGAATTGGGCAGTAGATCTATGCAACTGTGTGGTTCTTTCTCTACCACATTTTTACCTCCTAATGGCTCTAGGCATCCTGGTATCGTCGGCTATTTGCCTTGCCTCCACTTTAAAGTACTGATAGATTCCCAAGGTAGCGTTACCTTCCTTTACCGTAGCGCCCAACTGCAGCGTTGAGAATGTTACGTCAACAATCACCCAACTGTATCTGTTCTTTCTACTAGTCGTGGATCTGTTCGTTGTGCCCGGTCTGGCATTCACCATGAGGGGCGAACGGTTGGGACGTGGAAAGGGCTTCTACGACCGCTATTTAACCGGAATGCGGAAGTTTTACTTAGAGGCACACCCTAATCGACCACCCCCTTACACCATGGCGTTAGCATTCCCCGAGCAGATCGTGGATAGGATTTGCGTAGAAGAACATGATTTTATTATTGATGCGGTTGTTTCTATCTAAGTAAACACTGATATTGACAAAGTTTGCTTGTTGAACAAATTTTGTGGTAACCTTTTGAAGTGTTTTTTTCTGAAGCGGTATTCGCAATGATAATGTTCTGACGTTCGGGAAGGACGATGGTGACGCAGCTGTCTGCGGTGAAATAGGTAAATGTTTGCTTTCTAAAGTTTATCTTCGTATTCTGCCTTCACTGAAAAGCAGGCACAGAAATTTTGAGTACGTGAATGTTCCTTATCCATTACACGATTAGGGCTTTAAAATTTGGGTGCAACATGAAGGCAAATTGGAATTGCAGGGTGAAGCAAACTGGCTGAGCTAACCCTCCATTTAAAAATGCCACTGTTTCCACTCCGTATGAAGTACTTTTTGCGTGGGTTTGATGGCGTTTATAAATTTGTGCTAAGAGTCTTGTTGGATCGATCTCAGTGAGGTCAAGATTATCTGCATTGTTCCTATTTTTTTAAGCTTGATATTGAATGCTTGAAATAAAGCACTGAAATGGATGCTGCGACTTATTTTTGGAGTTCTGCTACCGTTCCATTGGCATCAAAGCTCCCTTTATTTGCTTTTCCAAGGCACCTTCAAAATTAGAATATTCTTTCTAAAAATGATTTTACCAACCATGGAGCTCCTCTTGGGATCCAGCTCTTCTCTTGTTAGTTCTCGTGGCTATATTGGTGTCCTTTGAAGACTAGAAAGGCAAATATGCAGATAATTTCCATTTCTTCCATTTCCTAGTCCAATATCACCAATTTACCTGTTTCTATTAGTATACTTAATAATGCAGGGATGCACGGAAAGCAAACCATGAGCGTTGCCAGTTATCGAATCCATGTATCTCACACAGTAGGGCACTGTGGAAGGATAGGATACACACGAGGGAATTTTCAGGATGCCCTCTTTTTTTGATGAAAGCTTCTTTTCCTTGGGGCCGCTAGCATGGTTCCCGGCCCATACTGCTTCGATGAAGTCTAGAATGGTTTAGAGTCCATTATTCTTGTTCTACGGTCATTCCACGGACAGAGGTTCAAATCGCTGCAACTAAACTATCATCCAGTTTAACAGAGTTAAGAGCACAAACATGTTACTATATGTTCTCGCTTTTGAGCATAGTTTTTAGCATTCCTCACCAATTGTCAGCATTGACTATCGCAAAGTGAAGGGAGTAGCATACTTCATGCATCAAGTTATGGTTAAAGAATTCAAATGTTGCCTAAATTCGGAGCATTGAACATCCCACCTCTGAATCTCTGATAATATGCACACTAGATTGTTTTGCATAAATGCGGTTGGATTTATAGATGCAGCGCCCAGTTACCTTATTTGAGGTGGCCGGGCAATCTTAATCACCACTGTAGCGTCCTGAGACTTCCCATATTGTGGAAGAAGGCAGTAAGTGAGGCTGGATACATGTATTCCGAAGAGGACAGAGCAAATGGGCCTGAGCATGGCTCGAAGGCCAGCCCACGAGTACAAGGGTCAGACAAACCCTAAAGTGACGGCCAAACGTCAGGTGGCCACATAAATAAAGCATTTCGATCACAACCACGCATTTAAGGCATCACTATCGGCGGACTCCCACGCGATCGATACTTTAGAAGTCTGTCCCTTGCTGGCTGTTCTGCGAGAGAGTTCAGAAAGAAGAGGGTCATTCCTATCCTGAAGTGAATAAATTTTCTTTGCAAGCGCAGAGTTCGAATCGGTCTCCGATATACCGCACACCAGACACGTTTTCGACTGCTCATGCATTAGTCATGCAGCAATTAGTTTATTGCGACGGCTGTGTGGTATGGAACATGCATAACAAACAGGATTATAAAATTTCGATAGTCCAACATTAATTATCATTACCTAACTAAACACATCATGGAATGAGGAAGTTCTGATTCTGTCTTTTGTCCAAAATCAGCATCAAACATGTAAATTTTCCGTAAATCTGTGGTCTAAAGCACCTTAAAGAGAACTAACTGTAGCACATCTTTCCTCCTCTCTTCGTCAATGACTTCAGACTTCCTAGAAGAAAGAGTGATTAATGGGAATTCCGAGGACATCGTTGCGTAGATGAAAACAGACGATGAAACATGTTGTTAGCTCTGAGGAGAGCTAGTACCGCATTTACACGGCCCTCGGATGGAGCACGTATTTCGCTGCCTCAAAAATATTTTTGGCAAGAGATAAGTTACGCCAACACTTAATAGGGTATTTCAGGTTTGGATACATTAGGAAGGATTTATCTAATCATTTTAATTAAGCCAAAATAGCTATGAATGCTCAAACAATTGCAAAAAATTGCAACTTAGAGTAGATACGTTAGCATCAAATTTTCTATTTGCCAAAGGACATCTTTTGACACTTTCTAATTGTTTGCGCTGGTATTTTTGAGAGGCGGGACACATGATTTACTCTATCCATAATGGCAAAGGTTCCGGCGTCGGATTTAGGGGGCGACCTTGTTGAGGTTCAATATCTGCTTCGAGAGCGATATAAGCATATACTTGACCTATCTGATGATGACAAAAGTCGTCTTTTTGCGCTTTCTGAAAAGTTTAAGACAGCCACCGATTCTGATGATCCACTCCTTCTTAAGAGGACTATATCTGATCACATTACCAAAAATCTACCTGCGATGGTGTTGCTGAAGCTTCCCACTCTTCCTCTACCTAGCCGTGAGGAGATCTACGTTCATAGATTCATGGATAGCTGTGCATTCAAGTCCCTCATTAGCTGTTTTGGAGGTAACTTGTTAGCACAATTTTTTATCTTTAGGACTTGTGTTGGGGGGTGTTTTTGGATTATTCACTGCGAGCGTTGATCCTCTAAGCACTGTTACTGGAACAGAAGTAGTGTCAGTAAAAACTGTGGCAAAGGAGATGTACGCTCGCGCTTTGTCTCACGGGAAAAATTTTGCAGTTATCGGTGCTCTCTTTGCTGGTACTGAGTGTGGACTAGAGAGTGTAAGCTATATTTATTATAATTCCATCAGTATCGAGGGCGGTCTGACCTGTTCAATAGTACCGTTACAGGAGCCCTCGTTGGTGGATCCATTGGTTTGAGAGCAGGCTTGAACGCTGGAGTGGCTGGTGCTGTGGGGTTTGCATGCTTTTCTACTATCGTCGATTATTACTTCAGACATGGTGTATGATTGTTTATTTTCGTAATAAAAGGTATTTTGCTATGGGGTCTTTTGTACCGCTTGCTAACTGGTTCCCTTGTTCAATCATTGTTTTGTATTAAGATGTTCTACCGGGAGCGTGATGGAGGTCGATCGAAGGTTAAGCACTGGCATATCAGCAATTCGCCTTCCAGGAAGATAAGTAAACGTACTGCTAATGACTTGATCTCTCACAAACACAGGAAGCGGTCAAAGTCATCAAGCTCATCGGATTCGGAGATTTCTCTTCCACCGGAAGAAATTCAAAAGCTCAAGGAAATGGTGCGCCAGAGGAAGGTCAGTTTTTCCGTCTTAAAGCTTTTTAAATGGTCTCTCGGCGAGACTTTTTGCTAGGATGTCTTACTTACTGCCTATTAAGATTGATTTTGTTTATTTCCTAATTTTTGTGCAACTTTGCGACGCTGTTGAGTCGCCGATGTTGTTAAGGCATTTATTTCGAATGATTTCATTTCGTGGATCGCTTTAAGGCAATTATGAAAGAACTGGAAACCCCAGAAGAAAAACGCGCTCGTCGAGTGGCGAAGAAAGAACGTAAGGAGCGCCGTCGTCGGGAAAAGCTTGGTTGGGGCAAGGACTACCTCGGTTACACAAATGAAGATAATCCATTTGGTGATCGGCACCTATCAGAGACATTCGTTTGGCGCAAAAAGATTGATGATAAAGGTCTTTCTCATCTCGATAGTACACGACTTCAAACGCTGCAAGCACAGAAGATGGAGGAAAATAGACGGGAGCTGGAGAATGTTCGCCGGCGACGGCTTGAGAGAGAAAGAGAGAAGGAAGAGAGGGAAAAGGAGTTGGAAATGCTTCAGCGCGAAAGAGAGGCTGAGTATTACAAGTCCTGGGGGCAACAGGAAGATACATTTCATCTGGAACAGGCAAAGCTGCGGTCACGTATCAGAATCGCTGATGGTCGTGCAAAGCCAATTGATTTGCTTTCGAAATATATAGCCGATCAGGATGAGGGGTCGCAGAATATTTCCAACGGTGGTGACATATCCAGCGCAATCGAGGTGATGGAACCAACGCAGTTTTTGGTCGGCCTGAGCATCGATGATCTGGAAGATTTGCTGGTCGACATAAAGGTGGTTTTTTTAGCTTTTTTCCCATTTGATTTGAGACTGGCTTTTCAATTCATAAAAAAATCTTGTGGTATGTTAAACTAGCCTTCCTTTCTGGACATATTCCGTCTGTAGGTCGCTACTTCCTGCCATTGTTATAGATTTTGTCGGGGAATATTGCTTCCGAGTTTGTTATTATCGAGGGTTCCTGATAAAACGATTCTGCTTTTTGAAGTTCCTCGAATAAAGTTTTGAATTGAATCTGTTTTGAGCCCTGAAGATTATTTTTTTGTTTTGAAATATAATTTTAAGGTTGCTGGCAGACTGTCTGAATTTTAGACACTGCGAGTCAATCACAAGTGTTTCCGAGCCGATCAGTTAGTTCTTAGTACGTTTTTTTTAAAAGTGACCTCCTATCAAGTCACTGTCATTGAGTTGTAAAAGACGTACTCGTATTTCCACCCTGATTTAGATTGTTTATATGGAGCTTGAGAAGGGTCAAAACGTGGAGTACTGGCGAGACATGACGGTGATAGTGGAAGACGAACTGCGACGGTTAAGGCAAGACGAGGATGTAGATGGAGGCGGAGGAAGACACAATTCGGTTAGCATTAGCAACTCTGTTCTAAAGTCAGTTGCTGACACACTCAAGTGCAAAACCTACGCTCAGTTGGCCGCCCTTGAGCGACAGGTATACATTTTTGCCCATTTCGTTCATTACTTTTTTCTGATGTCCTTATTTTCCCAATCACTTTAATATCCGTCCTGATGCTTTTTTGTCGGTATATACGCTCTTATGTGTCCATCCAGATTCAACCCAAGCTGCATGGTGGTGAGGGCGTGGACGTTGGGTACTGGGAGACACTATCGCAGTTCGTGGCTGCTCAGATGGCTCGAACACGTCTTCGTGAGAGGCATCAGGACCATCTTCGCCGAAAACTTGCTTTTCTCCAGCAAAATCAAGGAATCTCCTGTTCGGATAACGATTCCAATCCCATCTTTCCCAGTGGTTCAGGATCTACGTACAATATGGTTGAGCGGATTCGGGAATTGCAACAACAAGCTGCCTTCAAAGTACAAAGGGATGAGTTGGAGCAGTCGGAGGAGGACAGGAAGGGGTCAGAGGAGCCTCTGACTTTAGCAAGTCAGGAAGAAGTTGAGTCCACTTCGGGACCTTCTGCGGCACAATTGGAAGCTGCTTCAAATCAACAGGATCCATACGATTCTACTCTTTATTCGCCCGTTCTTTTGGATCAGTCAGATGTAGAGATCGACGCCGTGTTATATGACGCACAAGACGATCGCGCCAAGTTGGAGTATCAGGTTCGCCGCGCACTTTACTGGGCTTACTGAGTACATTCCTTTTGCCTAGTCTGGTTCTGGTTCTGGTCCTTATGCGCTTCACCTCTGCCCTTGGGCGTTGAGATGACCTGCTTTCTACTGTACCATGACCAAAAGCTAGCCTCTGTTGCTTAGTCTTGTATTTTCACTTATTACCACTAGAACGCGGTATTTTGCGTTCCAATTTATTTCCAGAATTATTGTGAATTAACCAAACATCCTCACTGATTTCATGGTTTTGCCCATCGTTTGCTACTGACTTGGTTTTTGTGGAGCATGCGTATTACTTAATTACGTTGATATCACCTCTACTTCTAACAGAGGAAGGATGTGATGCACACTGGAGCGCTGCGTAAGACTGCTGAGGAAGAACTAATGAAGCGAGCTCGCGAGGGCATGGAGGAGGGGGATGCGGAATTCAGCGTCCAGGTAGGCCACTTCGCATACTTTTATCTCATTTTAGGTCATATTTAAATTGTACTGTGTGGTATCGTTCCTTGCAAGGTTGTGCTCGTTCCTCCTTTTCCGTGTTAAAATTCGGTTGGTTATTGACCCCTTGAATGGGGACTTGTTATTTTAACTTGGAGCACTACTTGATGCATTTATCGAACCGAGTTGGTTGTTACTCTAGACACCATTTAACATTCATTTAGGCACCACTAGAGGATCAGTCGTTTCTCTGGTCAGATAAGTATCGTCCACGTAAACCGCGATTCTTCAATCGTGTGCACACTGGTTTCGTGTGGAACAAGTATAATCAAACTCACTACGATCTGGACAACCCCCCACCAAAAGTGGTCCAGGGCTACAAGTTCAATATCTTCTACCCCGATCTGATCGATATGACCAAGACGCCCACGTACACGAGAACGCCCTGTGAGGGTGAGCCCGACTTTGAGATACTTCGCTTTATCGCTGGCCCACCTTATGAGGATATCGCCTTTAAAATTGTCAGCCGTGAGTGGGAGTACTCCTATAAGCATGGATTCCGGTGTCAATTTCACAACACTATCTTCCAACTCTGGTTCCATTTCAAACGCTTCCGATACCGTCGATAAGTTGACACCAACGCCTTCAAAACTGTATAAAACCCTCCACTCCTCAAAATACCCCTGGCATGTAATTTGTTCCGTCCAAACGACACTACTTGAATCTAATTATACACTTACAAGACTTTTAGATTTGGTGTGATAGCTATTCACAAATTGACCTGTTCAGGCAAATACAACAGTTAGTCTGGAAACATGATTGTAAATATCCCTAGTGCTGACACTAAGGTGTGATCGCGATTTCAAAGGCTTACAACTGTCTTTCAATACCCAACCCACAGTTTTAAAGAACCACGCCTAATTGGTAGATATTACAAATTGACAACAACTTAGCGCTGGAGATTTATACTCAATACAAAATTAGAGCTATATGACAAAGGAAAGACTGGGTAAAAGTTGACTTAATTGAGGTTTCGGTAATCTAGGTCTCGCATTGTATTAAGACGAACGTGGAAGGGCACGGTTGGGCAGCTCATTAGTGGCGTCGTGGATTTTCGAAGCATATCTGGAGGAACGTAGTTTGGTGGTGTGGAGGCATTGTCTTGAATGGCACCTGAGAGTAGAACTGCTCCACTCATTTCTTTCCACAACTTTTCCACCCAAGTGTCAATTTCTTTACTGGTATTCTGATTCTCCGTCCACGTGACACTTGGGGACAAAATTTCTTCAAAAGTTACATCCAACTCACTAAGGATGGCATGCGTCAATGAATTTAAGGAGGTGGATATGTTCACGAGAGTTCCAAGATCTCTGTGCAAGCCCAAATCAACAGGAAGGGACTCCTCACTGCTTATCTCCTCCAATTCTTGCAGATGTTGGATAGAGCAGCAATGAATGAGACCACTGTCAAGTGGATGAGCCTCGGAATTGAAAATATAGCCCATACCACCTGTACAATAGTCATCGGCATCTCCAGCTTGGAACGTGTCAGCCGAAGATAGGGGGGTACGATGTAAGAAGTTGTCCTCATCGAATAAAAGGTACAGATATTTTACAGTCTCCGATAGGAAGAAAGTTTCCATTCTGTTCTCTTTGGTGTGCGTCTGGACATCATGAATCTAAGAGGTTGTGAAGAAATAAGTTACAAGACGACATGCAAGGGTTGAAAGGTTGACGTTCAGCTAATCTTAAAAAAAGCATATAAAATCACCGTAGCAAATCCACACGGTGTCTTCGCATCTCTCTCGATGGACGTCAGAACATTAACACCCATTTCTAGCAAGTAAGGGTCTTTTGTGGCGAGGTACAGATGTAATACTGACTCGATAAACTCTAAAAAGAAAGCTATTTAATTACCACTTCTAAGTCATTAAAGGAAAGAAGATGAAACGGAACCCAAAAAAGCGGCAAAAATGAGATAAAATACCAGGGCGAAGAGGATAGACGCTCTGTCTACCAATCGGTTTGTTGGACGGGACATCAAACATTTCAGGCAAAAATCCATATCTTCTCCAGACTGAGTGGTAAGTAATTAGCAATTCCTTTGCCTCCTCAATATCACCTGCCATGGCCTACATAAGAAGAATGCCCAAAGTGAAGCAATTGATCTGGTCGGAAACTACCATCCAAAATGTGGCTCACCAATACGCCAGGCCAAAACGATTCCAAGCTTTGGTAAACAGCGCTGGTTACAGATCCTGCATCCATGGTGGCCATGACATGCCAACCCCCGAATTTCAGATATTTCTTGATTGCGCTACGATATTCTGCGAAAAAAATGTAAACAAACATTTACATTCTGCGTTCACAGCTAGCAGCGGAATCACGGTCAAAAACGTACCACGAAACATTGCATCAAGTTCAGGGAGGCGAAAGAGTATGGACCCCTTAAGGAGGTATTCAAAATATGAATCCACACCAGAACCAATGGTGGCCTCCTTCCCCACCCATGTACCAGTGCGCACGTTGATATGGTTTCCCACAAGTCCCAATGAAGACCTAAATGTCCACAGGGCACGTAGAGCCTTCATTGCTGCTTGTTCATAACGAGGATCACCTGAACCAAAGAGACGTTATTGAAGCGTTCATGAAAATTCTAAGACTAGGCCGGAAGTGTGGATTACCAGTTAATCTCGAAAGAGCACCAAATTCAAGAATCAGTGTACCAACTGTCGCAACACAAGTAACAGGAGTTTCGTTCGGAGGAACTCCACCAAGAGCTAAGTTAATGGTACCATATGGCATCCCAGTGGGGGTGTTGAAAGCAGGAAGGAGTTTGCTTGCAAAACGCTCGGCTAGAGAAAGCAACCTGCCATGACAGGGCCAACCAGGTTCCAGATCCATTCCAGCCCTTTTAGCAAGCAAATGCGCCGCAAGGAGCCCTCCAACCACTTCACTTGCTAAGTTAATATACAAAGGACTTGCCTCGTATGTTCGTTTCAAAAACTGAGATGTTTACATTTCGGTTGGTGTCAACGTTGTTTAAAATGAGGTTCGCAGCACGTCTGAACTCAGAATTGTTGCCTAACACAACCAAAGTATCGAGTGAATCAATCAGAGTGAGGGAAAATCCACCCCAAGTGTCATGACCATCGCAAGAAATCGGACGCAGTTCATCATAGGGATATGCATGACGCATATAGTTATCATAACTGTGATAGAATATATCTTTTACTCGTTGTTTAAGGAATTGAAGGTTGAACCTCTCATTCTCAATAGAAAGCTGAACAAGCAAGAAAATTATGCCGAAAACAACCCATCCAGCACGCAGTCCGCGAGGACACATACTAGGTGACTATGTGGGTCGTAAGGAATGGGCTGAATTACTGCTGTCAATAAATAACGAGGAGTAAGAATGTAGTCTCAGTCGATTTGACCGAATTCCTTAAATAATAAAAAGATCATTCATTGTCCCAACCGAATTAATAGACCTCGGTCTTACATGTGTGATATCGACGCCTTTGTCAAGGAAGCTTTTAGATGCCTTCCACTAAAAACACCTTATTTTTAATTAAACGCAATGAAGTTGCAAATTTAATAACATAAGCAGATATCACGATACTGAGAATCACCGTACGTGATCGAAAGTCCCAAGCTAGCCTCGCGTTTTATTCTTTCGGGGTGCAACCATGACAGGCTGTAATTGCTAACAGGATGCATGTCCAAACACCCGTCACCTCGAAATTGATCAGACGTCCCTCACTGCATGAACCAATGACGCCAATCTTACCACCTTTTCCGATTACGTGTACCCTTGTAACCAAATAACCTTTGCCACTTGGAGCAGTCTCTAGACCTCGGCAGCAGTCCCAGTACCTTTCTTTTTACAGATTGTGCCCACTTAATCCAACAGGGCATCTTATCTTCAGGGAAGCCTCAAAGCACGGTATAAGCACCGCAATCTTATTACACATACATTTAACATAACATGGCTTGCCCACACGTGATCATTTTAGTATAAATGGTATTGTCGTTCAAAAGGTAACAGAAAGATTCACAAAATAGACAAGTTAATTGAACCAGAAAGAGTTCAAATAGGTCTTAAAGTGATCGGAGGAGGAGCATTCACTTTGAATAAATAATCCCAGAATCCCAACAAACTACCCCACTTTTAACAAAGTGGGGATTTCTTCGCCTCTTTCATTCCGCTGCAACTCCAAGATGTTTACTCCATAAATCTGCTTACCCTTCAAGCACTCCAAGTTCTAGAAATATACAAAATGTCGCACCATTTTAAGCCGATATAGACACAACGAATGAAGCACGATAATTTCCTATTTAAATCTCGAAAGTTACCTCTCCTCTTAGGCTGACCAGCGGAGAAATCTCTATGACATCCTGAGCGTCATCGGTAAATACAGCGCCAGCCGCCTTGGCCCACGATGCATGCATGTCAAGAATGGATTTACGACATGTCTTTGGGCAGTCTTTTTGCGCCTCAGGACCGTTCTTTAGGGGCGAGAACTCGGTTGCTCGATCAACCTCCCAAATGAAGAAGCGCCTGATGATTATAAGAAAAAATGACTTCAGAAATATTGCCCTAAATCTTCTATGCAATTTACGAGGAGATTCAGATAGCCACGAATTGCTCCACTGATGAAAGCAGGTCTCGCCGGCCTTAGTATTTCAATAATGAGGCTTTAAAATGATTGCAGCTAAGCCAACTGATAATAAGTACTTGCAAAGTTAAAGCACGACGACTTTTTAATGAAGTGCTAATCGAAATGTGCAGACTAGAACTGAACAAAATAAAGCGATTCAACAGATCCAAATGACCCAGAAATATATAGCATTGTGCCGGTAATCTTGACCTGAACTTTTAGTTTACCAATGCAACCTAACTGCCTCCCATTTGTACTAATGCTAAGGTCACCACTACTTCATTGGCATGACTTTGCAGGCAGCTCTTAGATAACCTGGGCAAATGCACCATTATTTATGCAGGTAGGGAAAACCAATGATACACCGTGAAAGGTTTTAAGCCGCATTATCTAAATTGTGGGAATGCAATCAAGTTAAAAGACCATCTCAACTGTCAACCAACTTACTTTGAGAATTGAAACACGTCAAAAATGAATTTCTCTAATTTGAGAGCATTCGGCTGAGTCGGCATGATTGAGCAATCTGTTCTCGTATCGAGATAAGTCACCTTCTTGTACGCGATATGGTATGGCAAAATGGCCTCCTGTTTTGGATCGCAAACATGTTCCAGAAAGTCAGTGGTCATGAAGTGGTTGCAAATATTCCCCAGGGAGTAGAGCAAGCGAGACTTCACTGAATTCAAGTGACCATCCCTTCCGTCCTTGCATTGGCCCATATGGCACGGTGGCACGGGCAGCATCAACGCAGCCGTGGATGGAGAAATTTCTGAGTATTCAACTACCTACACAAAACAGAAAATAATGTCAACGCAATGAAAAGTCAAATGATTATAGGCATGCTGTCAAACCACCTAATTTAAAGTCATTTAAAGTTCACTATTGCGTTGGACCATCACAAGGCGAAACCTCCAGTAGAATGTCTTTTCAACTAGAAGTAAGTTCCAATAGAGATGTACAAATAAACCACTCAAACAAAGAATTGAACTACATTAGATTCAGTTTTAAGGTTTCACGCAAACCTAACAGCTCATGCATACCTCTCCCATTTATGTTGAAATTAACCTCCACTATTAACTATCATAAAGACCCATCTCCAAAACGGGATTAGTTCGTGCGCTATGTGGTGCTACTTCGCGATACGCAAGTGGAAAGGAGGAAGATTGCACTTTAAATTTGACCTCGTTTGAACCGTTCCAACCTCAAGGATAAGGTTAAAAGCGTCCTTCTTCTGCTGTTATAAATGGACTCGAGATAGTGCGGTTGGAAGGAAGAAAAACAACAATAGTTCGTTGATTTATACGACTTGCTTTGTTCAAAAACACCATAAAAGTTCCTTTGGGCGAATAAAAAACCTGGGCCTTGTAATAGACTAGTGTCGTGAGCACTAATTCGATGTAGTTCAAAGAGGCGAACCTGCATCAATTTTTCAGTGCACTTAAAGGCATGAAATAAACGCACGCATCTTGATTAATAACAGGCGCTTTGCTCCATTAATGCATATAGACTCCGAAATTATAAGGAATATTTTTAACGCGGAAGCATATTTTGTGTGAGGCACCTAGGCAACTAGGTGTGATTCAAAGTGAGCGTGAGACTTTGGCTGTCACAAACTGTGCGAATAGTAGTGCATGAAAATGCGCACGAACTTGTAATATGCAATGTTAGAATAAAGCCAATCCCCTGTAGGAAGAGTAAACAAGAGAGGCAGTTCTAGCTAGGTAAATATTTTGACTGAAACCAAAAGTTCATGAACCAAATTTCAGAAGATTCCTTACTGTGTGTTACCAGCAGACGCAAGGTGTGCCGATGCAGAGCACCATCCCAGTACCTTACCTTAGAAATACGTAAAATATTAATCGACTGTCGAAACATCTCTAGTCCACTAGCAGATACAAACGCTTGAAACTTCAGTTTTATTGGTGACGCGAGTGTAAAAAGCGGTTTAATCGTATCCTTTAAGACATTGTAACTGGCTGGCATTATAAAAGCAGAAACCGAATTTCTGAACAGCTTTCAATTCAAGTACCTAGAGAAAGAGCAACAATAGACTGAATAGACTGCCATCGTTAAATGCAGTATTAATCCCGATAAGCTATCTCGAAAATGTCCTGGATATGCAAACCTACCCGAGGTTTTCCATCCACCATACCAACGACACCAATGGGTTCGTTTGGGTCGGTTTTCTCGACCACCTTAACTGCACAATCAGCATTCCTTGCGATACAAAAGCCAATGAATGCTGGGTCAGCCATTTGGATGAGTACGTTATCCACTCCATAGATGTGAACATATTGAATGCCCTGCGTTTTCATATTCTGCAGTATTCCTCGCTCCGAAAGGGCTCGGTAGAGGCCTCCATTACCCTCTAACCAAAATGATTAAACCAAAAAGAACTTAAGGAGTAATGAATCGGTTCAAAAGTATATGATAGTTGTTTTGCGAAAGGTCACCATTAGCGATATTGCCATGCCATTACAAATAAATTGCAGACCTTGACGTTGTCATTGGTTTTAAATTAAGAATTTACTAGAATTTGTCCCTTAAACATAGACATTTAATATAAATAAACTGAGAATTTTGATGAGGAGCATCAGAAAATAGTTTGCATTATCAAGAATTACACTTTCTCACCTGGAGACCAACAGAGAGATGCCTTATCTTTCATAAGAATTTTGCCATTTAAGTCCAAGGCTGGAAAGTTAAGTTGCTCAAAGAAAATGATATGATCACGACTGTAACCAAAATAGCCGTTTTCATCAAAAAATTTTTCTGTAAGTTTTCGAGTGTGATCAGACGTCATTATATACCTGGAAACAAGTTGATACAAAAGGAGTTACAAGTAATGAACATCATGCCAATAATTATTAAAAACAGAAAATCTAACCAGGGAATATATATTTCTTGGCCGAATTTGACCGAAACCTGCCGACATAGGCCCAGTAAACGCTCTGCTTGAATTTGATAAAGACTCCTTCGTGACGGAAGTCCAATATCATACATTCCCTTGGGATTGCTCGAACCAAGTCGGGTTCCCTGACCACCAGCCAAAAGAACAACCCCAACTTTTCGTTCAGAAATCGCCCCAATACCTACCAAAAAGTTAGAACCACCACACTCTGCAAAAAAACCTTTATCTATGTATAAATCATATTCTTCAGGATGCGAAGTACGGAGAGAGACCTCATGGCCACAAATCGACGGATCAGGACACATGAGCCGTTCATCAACAAACTGGGAATTTCCTTTCAGCTATATGAAAATGACATTCATTACAAGTGGCTACAATGTGCATTATTTCAAAGTAATGACAATCCACATACCGTTAACGCTGCCTATAATGCATCTCAGAAATAATTAGACGAAGCGTTACCTTGTATGCAGAATTTATCCGATCTAGATTAAGGGTTAGCAGTTCTCCAAGGTAATGCTCCTTTTCTCCAGGAGACAATTTATCCCAATACTTGTATAAGTGACTTTGACCACTGCTATCAAGCTCTGATTTCATTGCTAGCATAGCAGGCATCGCGTCACGACCTTGAAGACGAGGTAGCTCAAATCAGACAATGCACTGTGTATGTGGATAACATAAACAACATCAAATGCATACAAACATTCGTTTCCCGAGTGCACAAAGGCTAAAAAAATTAAACTTTTTTATTAATACACAAACATATACCAGATTGGCTTAAAACTCAAGCATAGCACTGATATAAGCGAAACAAGCAGCCGAGTCGTTTAGTTCTTGCTATACATGAAGTTATTGCCTACTGAGATATATAATGCTTTGTTTATGTGACTACCTGACATTCGGCGATTACTCTAAGGCTAGTTTGGTCAGTGTACGTGTGGGCTGGCTTTTGAGCTATGCTGAGGTTCATTTGCTCTTCCCACTGCGGATTACATATATCCAGCCTCACTCACTGCCTCCTTCCACTCTATGGGGAGTCCCACGACGTCATAAATATAACTTAAAATGGAATTACAAACCAACAGTGGTTCGCACCTTACTTTGTATTTGTTGGTTACCCTCCCTCCCCCCAAACCCATTCTATTACCGAACAGACTTACTCAACACACGACCTACATGCTCACTCAGCTTGTACATCACGCCTCCCAAATCCACGAGTCGCAAAGACCGCGCCCCGCCACCCAATGCGGCGTCCCAGCAGAGGGAAACCAAACTACCCCAATCGGATAAGGCAAAGTCATTGAGACAGCAGGGGGATAGCTTTCTATTAACAACACGTATGAGCGAGACAAAATTATAATTAAAAAAGGTAGTGGTGAATTAATCACAGGGAAGGGGAATCTACTTCATGAGAGCTTTAACCACACTCGGTACAGAAAATTGACGTAGATCAGAGTACGTCTGACCGGTTCCAACAAAAACAATTGGTTGCCCTGAGATATGGGCCATCGAGACAGCTGCTCCAACCTAGGAAATGCGGTTGTATAGCGTGAGTTCTGTATCTTAGACGACAACATACTGATCCCTCTTCACTCATGGATAATTTCAGCTTTAAACGTGCGCAGCTATTATTAGTTTTTGACTAAATACTTATAATAGATTGAAAATGAGGAATTAACTGTAAGCTAACCTTGTCGTCAATTGTATCAAATTTAGTGAGCACGATGCCATCAATGGCGTGGGACTTGGCTGCATTGCCATAATCGACCAGAGACTGATTGAATTTTACCAGTTGATCAATTGCCTCATTTCCGACCAGTGCCTCACCGACAAAAAGAACCAAGTCGGGTTCGTTGACGATAATGAGCTGGAACAAGAAAGGAAATGTTGAGATGAGTTCATGAATGCTTGCATGTGATGAAAGTCTGAGATAGGCTATATAATAAGAGAAAGCAGGAGAGCAGTGTTACTTTGGGAATAACAATTGTGAAGTGCCACCATTCACCAACGTTAGAAGACCAGCGAATAAGAATTGCGATTAACGTTGGTTGCCTTAGAAGACACAACAAAAGCATTCACGAAACGCCAACGTTTTTAGGAGTAAAATAAAGTGAAGCTTTATGAAGTTAATGGACACCTTGTTAGACCGTGAAACCAACATACTTTGGCAAGCGCACGCATCAGCGGTTCATTGTCTTGCATCCGTCCAGCGGTATCGACCAAAACCACATCGCGCTGTTTCTCCTTAGCTAGAATGGTAAAAGCTGTAGTTGGTTTCTTGTTAAGCTGAAGTAAAAAACCCATATGGCCTAGAAACGAATATTAGTAGTCTGAACGGGATGATTCACGATACCAACTAACGCAAAACAGCGTACCATGGGAGATGGCCGACATAGCAATATTTGCGGCATCCTTGCCATAACCCTTCTCATACAGCTCAACCATTGTTTGACCGCCGTGATGCTCGGGGGGGTGAATAAAATTAAGTTTCTGTACGTGGGTTCGAAGCTGTTCCACAGCACCAGAACGGAATGTATCACAGGCAGCTATAAGGACTTTGAAATTCTTTTCAATCAACCAAAAGGCTATCTAAGGGAGAAAAACAGCTTTACAAAAGTAGACTTAAATAATGAAAATAAAGTCTTACTGAAAAAAAAAATTGAGTCAACTTACAAATAATGATCAGTAATCAAAATAAAAGTACTTCCGCAACATAAAGACCTGTAGAACTGTATATCAAAGTAGCAACAAAATACAGGATAGTCCAGCAGTTTTCAACTGAGTCAGATAAGTTGCATATGTACGAGGCGAAGATTGGCGCAGATGTCGGAAATGCATGCAACATACAGGGAACAAATTGACCTGAGTTAAGCCCTCATTGAAAAAGGATGGGGTAATTTATAGATTATGATGGGAAATAACATCGACAATCCCCCAAGTAGTCACCATCAAAAGTGCAACTCACTTTGGCGAGATTCGTGGATTTACCAACACCATTGACACCGCAAAAGACGATGACATACGGCCGCCCCGATTGTTGGGCTTCAAGAGCATCACGTAGGACATCGACACGACGACCGGAAGCAAGAAGACGGGTACAGGCCTCCTCCAGGGCCGCGCGAACACGTGATCCAACTCTCTCGAAGCGACCAAGTTGCACTCCGACTAGGCTCTCAGCCACTCCATCGCAAAGGCGATTTGCGATCTCAAAAGCGACATTTTTTTGTACCAGATGATCACGCAGCTGCTCCAATGGATTTCGAATGTCCTCACTTGTCAACACCCGACCAGTGGCCGTCGATTTCAAGTTTTGTAGCAGACCTGACATAAAGCCGAACGATTTGTTCGGCTGAATTTAAATAACTTACGGTGAGTATAGAGGTCACACAGATGACGTAGGAGAAAACTATATGTTGAAACGCGTGTAAAGATTTAGAACCAGTGAAATACCATGAATAAAGGCGATTCTTGAAAATGACACAAAATTGAGCAAATTATTTGCCTTTATTTCATTCCTGCTGCGAGAAGAAGCTTTTGATTCCTGTTCCTCTTCATCTTCCGATGAACAAGCATATTCCTCTTCATCCGACGAGACCTCTAACTCATCAAAGCCCTCACGCAATGTGCCACGAAGTTTAGTGAGATTTTCGACTTCGCTGGCAGTTAGCTGCAGCCCTTGGGAGGCAACAAGATCTGTCCCATCATGAGCAAGAGTACCTGAGGAGATGACGGCACCGCCTCCGTTGCTGTAATCAAGAGCAGCAGCCTCAGCTCCAACGGCCTCATTGGTCCAACGACGATTCACTTTTATCCTTTTACCAGGCTTGCCAGAAACAGGTGATTCGGAAGCACTAAAAAACCATGATATCATTTACTTAAGTACATGTCCTCATTCCTTGTAACAAATGGGCCCAACAATGGGTTTAAATGAGATATCTGTGCTTGAGAATCATCAATGGTCTTGAAGCGGTGAGAACAATTACCATATGTGGTCCTTGGGTTTCTTGCTCATCTTGACAAAACGAGGCTTTGGCGAAGACAAGTTCGTCTTTTTAGACTGCAGAGGAGCTGAAATTCCAAAATATCTCAAAAAAGCAAAAAAAAAGTTCGCACAAAACGGTACATACCAATTTTTGAATCCAAAATGGGTTCACCTGAGTCCAAGCTCTCAGCTAAATTAGCCCTTTTATCGGTAGCGGAGGTCGAGTGTTGATTTTCCTTATTGATAATCATCGACGCGATTGTCTTTTTTGATTTCGCTGAATCAGCAAAAGATCGCATAGGTCTTCACACAGTAAGCCATCAACACACTTACTTAACAGACTTAATTGACTTCAGTGAATCTGATTCAATTTCGCATAACTTGGAGTCGAAAATGGGTGCAAAGTCATCGAAATACCCAAATCGATTCTTCTCAAGTAGTTTATTTTTGTACTTGTCCCGAAATTCCAATGCAATCACAGTTAGAAACTTGTCGACATAACTCAATTGGAGGACACGCTGGTACCCGGCCTAAAGAAGAGATATGGACCACCTACACAGACATACAATATACAAAAGATCAAATTCATTATCCATGAAGTGCTTCATCGCAATGCTTTCATGCGCAAACACCCCGTTGCTAAGATTTTCCTACGCGATAAAAAGCAATGTAGCCTACCTGAAGTATGAGGGATTTTAAAAAAGCATTAATTGCCGTCCTAATGCATTCGGATGTACTTTTCATATACCACAACACTATACCACCTCTAGTCAGTATTACAAAAAAATCGAGCATAGCGTTAAAGCAGCGTCAGCGAACAATTAGTGGAAGAGGGGCATGGAACTATACATTAAAACAAGCTAGCCTATCATTATGACTTTCTCCAATATATATGCATCTCGGATATATAAACTCAGTTATCGCATGGATACCTCAAATAAAAATTTGCGAAAAAGCTAAGTCTAACGCCTTAAGGCTTCTTGCACTTGCGCGAAGCAGCTTAGTTCTAAAACTTAGGAAAGTGAGCTTTCGTTTGTACACAAAAGGTTTATACAAAAACCTACAGCACTTTACTTGATAACTTCATATGCAGCATTTTGAACGGTGTCAAAGTTCGTGGGTCTGCACAAATTTATCTTGCCGTCAGTGCGCTTTGTCTTCAATGCTTTCATGGAGCTGTTTGTATTTACAATACCAGGGCAGACATTATAATTGTGAAGTGGGGAAAGACTGTAAATTTGCCCAGTTGTGTCAGAAACAGTGCTGCACCATAGCGTTGACTGCACATGCAATGCATTAAGGATGCGGTTCAGATTGGCGTTGCAAGTCAGAGGCAGGGTTTAAAAGGCAAATGGTGCATTGGGGATCGACTGACGCTACTCAAATCCCGCCTATGTCCAATTGTTCCCCTGATTTTACATTGCTGCCTCCACTCTCCTGAGCTGTCAAATAAAATATTTTTAAGCGAACTGCCTCCTGAGAAAACGTCAGGGAGTGTGATAACGTGTTTAAGGCTACAGCACGCGTAATAGTACCATAGTGCCTTGCAATGTTTTGCGCAATGCTTTAAAGTGGAGCCTTAAGTCTCATTTCATGCCTTCAAAAGGGTGAAATCAAAAGAAAGCACATTAGAAGAGGGCATAGTATTGGGTCGGATCGGACCCAGATATTTCAAACTTGCTTCTGAGGTGTTAACGTGGCTGGCACAGTGACTAAACGTAGAACCAAATGTCGAATGATGGAAGTGTTGCAGCAAAAGTTTTAACTTGTTGGATGTCTGAGTTATTAACTACGGGGTTACTCCAGTCTTAAGACCTGCGCTTATGGTGCGCAGCAGGACACTAAAAACAGTCCACAAGACACCAAACCCCTTTATGGGTTGGTACTGTCTTCGATGCCTTTCCATTTTCATTAGTCCAAAAGAAAAATGTGCATTGGGATCAGTAAAGAGATTTTGGTTATCAAATACAGTTGAAACATAGTTTAAATGGTGGTCGGTAAAAGGAGAGGCGAAATTTTAATCCGAACTCAATTTAAGTGGAGCGCGGGACTCTTCTCAGCGCTAGCTCGTACTTATCTAGGGATGTCTTACGAGTCTTCGTCAGGCAATCCTTCGACTAAGAGGGCTTTGTGAAAGTCGATTAGAGTGAGGTTGTTGGGGTCACAGTTGTGCCTTGATTATTCGAATTCTGAAGTGGTCTACAGTCAAGACAGAAAATACAAGAAGCTGCAGCATGGGTATTGAACCACCCCTTTTATCGTAGTCCCAAACTCTAACGGCTGGTATGCCTTCACACTTTAATAAATCTTTAACTCCATTACTTTGAGACTCATCTCCTACGTTTTTCGCATTTATCGTTAGAGTTGACCTGCATCATTGATTAAGAGACATAAAAGGCACCCATGAACGGTAGTCATGAAATTTAAATGAAGAATGAAAATGCATTCAATTTCATCTTAAATGATGCTGCTTTCGATTTTCATTACCTTCAAAATTTAGTTTCGTTTATGAGCCATGGCGAAAAGGGAGAAAGGGGGTACTCTTGATAGAAGATTTCACGCTACACATTTATTGCCTTTCTGTGCTTTTCTATCCTTTGCTCCCCTAAAGGCGTCCAACTTGCACATTTTCGTGCTTCACCTTATTTGCTTCTTGGAAAAGTCCAACCTTTGGCATTAAAGCATACACGTGTGAGATGCTTGTAAACATTTGACTCATCATCTCCCTTCACTAACCTGTTTGGAATTTGCTGGTTTCGGCTCATCGTTTGCATCACACAGTCATGCTAGTCTGGCTGCACAACTTCAAAAGACTGCTGCCGCACACTTTAGGATTCGCGCATTTGAAGTCCCGACAAATTTAACCACTCAAAAAAATAAGTAGCTCTTGTGGCTATTGCATCGTACACCGGGAAGATATGAAGTCAAAATTGCAGGAGTTTTTTGACTAATCATCATAGAGACGAGGTCTACGTTACAACAATGCCACACTGGTGAACGCAACTGGTAAATCGTCTTCGTAAGTTGTTGAGCAATCACTGCTTCACAGAAGCAACGTACCTACATTAGGACGAAGGGAACAAACGGCTTTTGTCTACTATTTACTCAAAGGAGCTCTATAATTTGTTGAAGAATTAGACGAATTCTCATCCATTTGTCAATGCCATATAGCCCAGGATCGGGAAGAGGAAACAAGCCGAGATGTTCGTTGCCCTTTGGGCCTCGTAGAGAAAATGGCGGCAATTGAAAAATCGAAGAAATTACTTTCAAGTCTTTTCGGATGGGGAAGTTTCTGAGCCTCCGTCTCACAGTTGCAGTATGTCAGTTTTTTTATTAACCCTTCATTTAAGCAGAGAGGACCGCGAAATTGGCCCTACACTTATGCTTACGTCGGGTAGCCATATTTCGTCTTAGGAGAATTCCCGAATTGATACAAAGTAATGTGACGGAAGGTGCGACATAATTTCTTTCATCCCAAAATACGGATAATTTTTTTACTTAGATAAGAAAAAGCGAGTTCTTTTTAGATGGGAAGAAAGCCTAGTCTGTCTACTTTGCAATAAACCATGCCAAAATATGTCTTACCTTTCTTTTAACTTACATACGAAACCTTCGTCAAGGAGGTCACACGAGGCGACCCACGACTTTGTTTCCACAGTTGTCTCTAAGTTTGATTCAAACAAGCCCAACTGTAATGGCTAGCTGTAGTGTTCAACGTTTGCTCGTTCATTCTTCAATAAATTATCTCACACTGGGTGCCTCCACAGACATAGCGATGGAATGCAATTGTCTGACACGTCTCGCAAGAGTGCAGCCGTAGGTTTGATCAGACAGCGAAGCCTCGCAATAGTGTGCTCTTAACAGCCATACGATACAACTTCAAGTCTCACCCATTTCGAAAAGAACAAGTGAAGATCACAGTGAACGCACAAAAAATAAATCTCATCAAATAATTTGTTCAGTTCATCCATGGCACTAGCTGGAGAGGCGTAAATTGTGTGATGCCAAAAGTTATTTCCTTGAAGAGGCAGGGAGTGACTTGATGAGATGACTTGAATAGCATAACGCTTTGTTTTTAATCATACGATATTGACGTTGATGGGTGATGCTTCACCATGTTGTGTTGAACAAAGGGATAGAGTGATAAAGCGCACTTCAAAGCCAGCAATGTAAATTCCCGTCTTGGGCTTATCTGAAGCACTTCATCTGTTGCTTTGCCCATCTACTGACTGACAGAGGCAGACAGTTGATTTGTGGACCTGTCCGCCATCAAAAATTACCTCATTCAATTCAATTATGTTCAGACTGATGCTGTTAGGTCATTAAAATGCAAAACGTGTTTTCAAGAAGGGTGTGAGTACAAAATGGAAAACAGGTTGCGGCCTTTCGGTGCTGCAATTTACCGGACGCTTATTTGAATTTTAATGAGTAGAAAGTTGAAAAACTCCGGTACACACGTTTACAGCATGGCATGGGTGCAGTCATTTGCAAAGCATTGCAACGAGAATTCGCCACTCATCCTCATCCACCGTCCAATTGACGAAGTCGCATTCGGCGGCGGAAGTGTAGAAGCCACAGCGCACTCGAGGTAACTCACTGATGCACACTGTAACAATGCAAAAGCGTAATAGTAAATTGTATTCGGGCATTAAATGCTAATAACAAAACAAATGAGGAGTAAAAGTAATGAAGGACTTATATAGTTAAAGGGCAGGCGTAACGCATGTTTGTTTTTAAGGGTTTTTAAACATCTCATTATGCAATGGTTCCTCAAATATTGCTCACAATTGTTGACACAACAGGTAAGTTAGCTTTTCAGGCTGCCAGTTTCGTTAGACCTGGTTCCAACAACTGTGTGCTCTTTGTTGTGAGCGCCCATTGCGATTGAGAAGAACAAGGTTCGAGGTTTAAGGGCTAGACAAACAGCTCTGAGACTTAAAGTGCCTTTGTCCTTGGCAAGTTCTAATCTAAAGCATGCAAATGCTCACAGGCGTATTCACATAACAAAAACTCAATTCCACACCTTGAACAATCTGAATGAGACTGTAAGCTCGAAGTTGCTAATAACTCAAATCGGCGGGAGCACTGAAGACAATTACAAACGACTTTCAAATCGACACAGCCTCCAAAAAATGGCAATAACTTGCCTTTATGTAATGAGCCGCCCCTTGAGGGACACGCCTACTTTTGTCCGGTCATTTCTCTGCTCACGCTGGATGCCGATTTCTTGCAAGTGTGGGCAACAGCATGCCGTGAGGCACGATGCGATCGGAGTTGAGGTCTGCATCGCACTCATCAGCAGACAGGCGGTGCGCACGTCTCGCCTCTTTCCAAATGCAATTAGCGTCTGCACACATCAGCAATTTGATTCCTCTTAAAGCGTCTTTGAAGATTGCCGTCAACGTCAAGCAATTTGCTGTAAAAATGAATGACTCTCTCATTAAAGGGGGGGATTTTTGAGATGGATTGTCATTGTGGAATCTCACCGACAGATACTTTTGAGGCAATAGCAGCACTCAATTAAACTAAACCAGACACATATGTCATTTTACAATCTCACGACTGTGCATTGAATACAAAGGGTGTAGTGGATAAGATGTGAAGCTTGCAATTAACTTTGGTGACTTTTAAACCGTTAGTCTGTCACACAATTACGCACGCTTTTGTGCGTGCAGTTTAACGCTGCGCGTTGTAAAACGTAACATGATTCGGTTAAGTGAAAGCATTATTAAAATTATCTTCGCTCTTCACTTGAGCACGACTTGTACAATGAATGACAGCAGACTAGTGGCAGTAGTCAAGGTGGCATCATCTGGGCTAACAATCTTGTGTTATTCAGACGACTACTGCATGAAAGTGCTGACTCAATTGTGATGCCAATGGAGACTTGGTTGAAGTAAATTCCACTGGGATAGGAGGTGACGGGTGACTCCTAAAACCATTTATAAAATGCAAATGTCTTAAGGCAAAAGTCAGCGCGAGGCCCTTTTTCTACGAAGAATTTGAGACTAAACTGCTTATAAGGCAACTTTAATGGAAAAGTTTGTGTTTCATGCTTCGTGTGCTGATGGATTGCTACGTGAAATGCAAATTATGCTCATCCTAAGGGACCTTTTAAATTAGGAAGTGAACCCATTTGCGAGAAACTACATGTATGCAAATTTAATTTTATTTATTTTTTAGCACAGATTTTAACCGGTAACCAACTCGCACCTTACCTCAACGATTGCCTTTGTCGGCGCATCAAACGACTTATGGCTTCGTGTAAGCACTCGCTTCTGCCAGCTGAATGTCTACGTGTTGGTGCTGGTGGTCCTAAATGGCTTACATTTACTGAGCATCGCCGGTGGAAACAAAAAGAGGCGGACTGATCACCACGGAGCAGCAGACAATGAGTCTTATCTTGAGCCACGAGTACACCTGCTGGGGAGGCGCAATTGCACACCAAGTGGGCATCTGTCCAAAACACCCGTGAGGCCACCTTAAACAGGAGCAGCGTTCGCGGCTTGACACTGAAATTTCCTTTTGCTAAAAGTTTGCTCATCATGTGTCTACATCAGCATTCATCCAAAATATCGTAACTATGCGTTATAAGGGTTTCAGTCATTAGTAACATTTCATTCAATATCCTCCTTAAGGCAACCAACTTTCCAACTTACAGTCCTGAGGAAGTGAGTGTATTGCTTAGAAAAAGAGATAAATTAAAAAAACAAGCCAGAAATTAAATTGCAAAACAGACTTGGCGTAGGGGAACAAATATGGGAAGTAGTATTACGCCTGGGGACGTTCTTCAAGACGAAGGACGATGGAATACTCATGCCAAATACGTAGAAGAGTGCCTGGAGCTGTAGGCATTACCCTACGGAAGAAAAAATGACCGAAGCTGAAGTGACTCGTCACCGAAACCAACCTTTTGAAAATAAATTGACGTGTTCCTGTAGCAATTCCTATGGGTGAGGATCAGATGAGAAGATGTGTTTGGTGTTCATCGGGGCACAAAAGACGTGCAAATGCTTCCATGCTTGAATGGCTGCTTGCAGTTGATAGCACAGACGTGGTGGCTGCAACCAGGATTTGGAGCACTCCTGGGTTGATGCTCCTGTCCCACGGACACCATAAAACTTACAAATACTCACTCACTGTTATGTCTGGAAAATCAAAGAAGCGTGCGAGAAGACGAATCGGTTGCTAAGCTGTGTCTCCTTAAGGAAGTTACAGTTCTTCAGTCTACGTAATGGTTTGGATGCAGCAACATTTAATTCATTTTAAAGGATGCTTAAGGACGATGGCAGAAATGGTGACCTTTTAATGAGAAAACACTACGTAGCTGAGGATACAAAGCAACAATGATGATGTCTTTGTTAAATTAAAAAATTCTAATTTTACCCTACCACAGACTGAGTCTCACTACGTTCTGCTGAGAGCGCATCAAACACCGGTGCTTAAGACATTGTAATTACGAAATGTGCAAAACAATGTTTCAGTCATTCCGATCGGCTTCCTCATCTTCACGAGAAACGATTCTGTGCTTTTTATTTACTATTTTAACTTATCAGTTGAATACCTTGAAAGCTGCATCCGTTGGCATTTGCTCACCCAATGCTGCAGGCCGGTGACTAACGGAGGTTGGCTTGGACCCACAACCCCTTGAATGGCTTTATTGCCTCGTGATCGTCTGGACGTATATTCTAGTCGTTGACATGATTATTAACACGTCTCAAAAAATTACAGGGTGACGCAGTTTAGCTAAGTGATGAAAGCCCTTTTTCACTTCCTCACCTTATTCAACGCTGCTGCAATTGACTGGTAGGCGTTTTGCTTAGGTCTGACTTCACTTTCTCTTTTAACGATGACTTGTCTGTAAGTGGTAGTGAGCTCAAATGTCTTTTGTGCCCTGGTTTCATTTCCCATTCTGTCTGATCCCATGGAAGGCAGTAGGTGGGGCAATGAGACAATCAAATCGGCATGTTCTACCGGCAGGTGTGGCTCGCTTTCAAAACATGCCTTTTCATGCTCTGACGTCGAGCTGTTAAAAGGGGCATTAACGACAAGAAGAAATTTTGGGTCAGCATTTCTGATAGACGTCTCATGAAGTAGCGGAAGTATGTACAATAGTTCACAGTTTCGCGGCAATCACCCACAATTTAATGGCTGTCTGGATGGAAAAGTTTGTCGCTTTATAGCTTTTAAGGCTGTTCCATTAAAGCGAGCAAAACAAGTAATTCAAATTAGCTGTCCTGTTAGAAGTAACCAGAAGGGCTTGATCTCTACCGATGCTTAATAGGCAAACGATTCCGGCTGTTGAATGACTTTTTTCTTGGGTGACCATGTGATGACAGTTTCACCTTGTCTGCTAATTAAAATGCATTGAGTAGAAATGACTGGGCACTTTAATGCCATCGAAGTTGAAAGTACTTTAATTGAGCCAGGGGATCAGTGCCTGTGTGGGTGTCCATCAGCTCAAACATCCGCTGATACCACCACTCATATGGTTTGGCTTACAAGTCCTTGTCTCTGCTCAAGTTTCGCCTTTTCACTATCGGTTTACTCGAGAACACGGACATTAGGAGGACGATAATGGGAAATTATGAGATCCATTCAATGCCTTTTCCAACAGTTTTACATGTAATGCGCACTTCCCTCAACTCACATAGGTTGCCTTCATTTAATACAGAAGACTACAAGCTAGCTGCTCTCGATGGGAGAGCAATCGCATGTTTTGGAGCAACATTATTGTGAATCTGGTCGAGCCTCTGGGAACCCTAGAGCTGGGATAATCCTCTGAGGCCGTAATGGCTAAGGTCTTAAACAAGATTTATCAAATGGTTCCCACTGAGAAAGGAAGATATACACTCACAAGCCATCTTTTAGCAGCGTTTTATTGGCTCCACTGCTACGCCTTTGATTCAATTGTAGGGGATGAGCCCATTCAACTTCTCTGGAAACGCATGCTTGTTAGTCTAAGCTGTCTCAGGAGTTCGTCACTAAGCCTGCTTTTGATGGAAGAATCGTAAAATCATTGAAGTAGCTATGCAAGTTGCAGACAACTTTGTCGCATCAACATGCTGGTCCTTGCATGAAAGTCCTTAAAGTGCGCCATGTGGTAACAACACGGATAACTCAGAATGGTCTTTTCGAGGGATGATCGTAAACATAAGCCCATTTTAAATATGTATTGCATTTTAGTTCTGTGAAAGATTCCACACAAAGTAATTTGACTCATCAAACGAATAATTTTTTGTAGCCTTGCGAATTCTATGCAAATTACTGCAATTCACCTTTCTTTTCATCAGACCGCCTCTCTGCTGACAATGAGGTGTCATTAAAACTCATCAGAGGAAAGTATTTATTAGTACGCGTGCACCACCATGGCGCACGCACAGGCTCATGAGCGAACACCTTAAAAATGCTAATTGCATCGCCAAGGCAACTGGCGAGGGCCACCCATCCACCCGAGTGTGATTTGTGTTCGTGCTGGTGCGGCGTCCCTCCATTGGTGGGTTTTGACGGCGTGCGAGCAGGCCTCAGCTTGATCACCTCCCCCTCCTCCCCCCTTGAGGCACAGTGTCAGTGGCAAATCATTGGCTTGGCGCTCACCGCCACGCACACCTCGCAGCACCTTCTAACCAGAGCACTCGATATAAAAGGGAGGTGAGTATTTTCGATGCCATTGCGAAGTATGGATTTTAGCCAGTCCCTCAGTATAGCCGACAACTACACCAGCCTCCTAGCAAGGATACCTCTCAGCTTCCGTCTCCCCGTTCCCCCGCCCGATGTGATGCGCGAATGTCTTAGTGGTGTAAGTGAAGTAGTCTCTATCAACCATTAGATGTTATATGTTGTAGAGCCCCCTAGATGTTATCAATCCATTGCCTGACAAGCAATTGCCCGACACCCCTGTAAATCTGTGCATCCGGGACCAGAGGCCAAAATCGGCCTTTGTAAGGTAAGGTCTGCAGGTTAATATGAATGCTCAACTGTTTAGTGTTAACCCTCGGTCATCAAACAGAGGTAATCCACTCGTTTCTGAGATATGGACAGTGCCCCGCGCATCTCTGGGTTGCGAGGCTCCAGTGATACCGCTAAAAGCCAAAGAAAATTTGTATACAGTATTGCCGTCGACAAGGCGACGAGCGGGATGGAAAGGTTTATCTGTGTGTGCCGCCTGTTTCCGACCATTCAGTAAAATGAGTGAACTGAACCATCATTACATGCAGAAGCACCAGGAATTACTTGAACGAGAATGGAATGCCGCACTTATTAAACGGCAACGAAGGTGCTACAAAACTTCCAATTACGTAAGCAGTGTTACTCCATTTAAGCGAAGGAAGAATAGAACAACCAAACTGTTACAAAAAATGCCTCATAAACATGTCGTAGGCCTCCTCAGTAAAATGTAATGGACTAAGTCAATCGATTCATAAAGTAGGAATGCTTAAAAGAGAGTTTCATATCTACATACCTTTAACAAAGTATCGTAACTATTTCAGAAGCAGCCTCCTAGTGACTTGGTTTTCCACTTGGACGCCGCTAAAGAGTAAATGATTTGCTCTGCATGGGTTGGTAGCGCAGTGTGTTGTTGCCCTGCACAAAAAGGTTTCAAATACTTCAATCCTTCACAGAGAAGCTAACATACCAATATTAAATGCAGTTTTTAATGTATGTCATTGTATCCTCCAGATGGTTTTCCTTCAAAGAACTTAAAAATTCACTAGCATTTTGTTACCAATTTAAGCAACACAGGTTCGTTCAAATGCAGATGCCTTAGACCTCATGCCGAAAGCACTTATTTTATCTTAAATGGTAATTATTGTGCTTTTGCAGAGGCGCCTCATTTGTGATCAGCCTCGAACCCAGAAGGATGTCCCACCCGTGGAGACAGCATGGGAGAATGCAGCACAAAGCCAATCGCAATCAGTCACAGAGGCGTGCAATCGCCTTATGGCGAGGAAGATGGAGAAGAGTCCACGCAAAAGCCATGTTTGTCCATGGTGCAGCTACTGCGCCAAGTGGCCTACGGAGCTGCAAAAGCATATTGTGGTGCATGCTAATTCGAGGCCTTACTCTTGCATAATTTGCAGCAATTGCTACAAATGGAGTTGGGATTTGGGTCGCCACTTCTCCACCGTCCATGCCGGTCTTCCGAATCCCTACAAGATGAACAAAAGAAGTCTCCGAGCCCAAATCCAGCGCTCCAAATGTGATAGCGTCACCATTTAAAGCTCAGAAACGTTCTTTTCTATTAGCGAAATTCAATCATATTTTCGTATTTAAGAAGGTGTTCTGTTGATTTTGTATTAAAAGTTTGCTTACCGAACTTGCCTTATGTAACATCATGAGCATTGTCAGACAGTCGTAAACTGAATGGGACATGCCATCGCTACATATCTTTTGGTCTCAGTGTAAGTCAAATGAGGAGGCAGGGGCAAGACGGCGTATACATTCACCTCACTGCTACAAATCTTACAGCGACGCACACTGGCTCTTCCTTTCTGCGTCTCCAGAAAAGTATCGGTAGACCGAAGCGGTGGTAGGGAAAAGCAAACTCTTGCTTCAAGGTTACTTATTGTAATTCCAACTGTTAGTCGACAAGTTTTAGCAAGATGGAAGAAGTACGCAAGCTGAGAATGGGTGCGTTGAAAACGCCTCCAAACAGAAGAAACAACACTAACCTTTAGCTTCGACACATGGCCCAATTCTGCATTCTATAGAGAAGGTGGTAATATTTGGAGCGATACTAGCCATTGGCCATTTAAGAATTTCAGGAAGGAGCTGTTTTTAGTTTCACCTCTCTGCTAGCTGCATTAAACTTAGGTGGAAATGGTTGGACAGCAGTAAAATGATGAAGAGTTGGGCAGAAAGGTGGAGATTTTAAGCAACTGCTTATGCACCAGCGTTTCCACAACTAGCTATGAGCATGAATGCTAATCTGCACCTTCTCTGTGCTCTAGTCCGCTTTCCAAATGCGACGAAACTCCAGGTATGGTAGAACTGTCACTTGAATTTGGAGACACTGCAATTAAGCGCTGTCTCAGTCGCTTGCAAAATTGATGGCTGGCAATGGATGTTAAATTACCAAACACATTGTGACAGCCCACACAGGAGATGGGAAAATGGTGCACCGACTCGATTATTTTAACTTCCCGTTCTGGGAATGGGGCACTTGTGACTTCCATCACCAACGCAAAGCGGATTATTTTATTATTCATTTTCAAAGTTAAGCTATGATAGCTTCAATTAGGGGGTCGATACACATCCTTCGAATCGTGGTCACCCGTAAGATATGTTTCTTTAAGGTAAAAGTTTAATAACAGAGAGATTTTCCTTTTTCGACAGCATCAGAGCGACAACTCAAGAAAGTTGAAAGACCTGCCTTAATTGACATCCTTGCATTGGGCTACATGGAATGGATACACCCTTGCCAAAAGTTCATCATTGAAATTTCAGCTGTTACGACTGGATAGCTTTTGATGCGGCTCTCGAAAAGGGCAAAACGACTTACCGGGTGGATGCTACTTCAAAGCCTTGCCCCTTTGCACTTCGCTACAAGAGCAGGCATCCGCATTCTTTCTCAAATATGCTTTACGCACTTCACGCATCCATTCACAGAGGAGAACTTCACACCAAATGAAGGCTTTTAATAATGGTTGGATTTTCTCCGACAAGTATCCCTTCCATTCACCTGGCACTACGGATGCTCACCTCCTCAACTCCATATGGCCAAACACTATGCAAACAATTGGTTTTAATTTTTTTGTTGAATCAGTAACTATTTCTTCATATGTGTAATAAGAATGTTCAAGTACAATCTACTTTGTTTTAAGTTTTGTCAAAACAGGATTATAAATGGTTTTGGATTAACTGAAAGCTGGCAGTTGTCAAGGCGACAAGGAGAGGGAGGAGGCGTCGTCGTGTTAGCAATGCAAGCACTGGTGAGAAATGAAATGTACGTGTGTTCACACCTAAACATGGTGACTTAAGTCTACCAAATCTTCATTCAAAAAATACCCTGATGCTACCTTCCTTTGGCTTGCCTTCTACTCGTTCTCTCTACATAGCATCGGTTCCAGAGCAAAGCCATCGTTATCCACAGTAGTTTAAAGGCTCTAGCAACTGATTTGGCTTTCTGTTTTGGTTAAAAACCAATTGTGAGTCGCCATTATTGTATTTTACCGAAGGATTGACACTCGCACCATGTCAGAAGTATCCCAGACCTTCTTTGTGCTGGAAGTAACGTATTCTGCCTTCGGAACCGGACCTCCTTCGTCCCCAGAAGTCTCAGTATGTCACAACAATAGTGTATATTCCATCACTTTGATGAATTTGTTGAGTGGTGTAAAACCTGTACAATGATTTGGTTGCAGCGAAATCTCTTGGTTTACCGCCTCGGTAGCGTTAAGTAAACCCAAATATGACGCGCGATACCATAGAAATGACAATTGCTCCAAATGTTTGCATAAAGGATCCCGAAATCCAATTCCTTCTTGTGCGTTTACCCACCATCTGTTTCTAGACAACACTTTAAAGCAGCTCTCCCAATTTCCAGATGATAGTACTGCCAATTTCAGGTAACCTTACATAGCCCTGCACCCTGCAATAGAACCTGCAAATTGCCGCGTTCGAGTCTAGTTCATGCTTACTCAAGTGACTTTCGTATTTCAGTCAACTAGATAGCTTCGGCGGCGATTAGTTCACACAATGCCACACCGACCACCCAGGTGTGAAGGCCTCCAGAAGAGGTGGAATCGAGGGGGCAGCAGAACACAAACGCCGTTGCTTAGAGTGCAAGTGCCTACATGTGCGAAAGTGTTAAGAAAAGAACTTAGATTTCATCCTCGAGGCCAACTATCACCTCACTTCGTAACTAAGATAGTTCTTATGTTTGCGCATGCTGGTGAACCACTGTGCCAGCATTCTTCACACTCCGTCTCCTTTAAACACTGCTGTAAAATGGAATGCATCATCAAATGTAGGTGAGGTACTTATTCGCTACCTCTCTGCGCGCGCTGGAGTGCACGACAGGCGTGCCACCTGATACTCACCGAGCTTAAGTGAGCACCCAGCAGAGGCATGAATGCAACCACCGCAACCCACACGGGAGGTGACCTCGGACGACCTTGGCCGTCTGAGAATCTCATCTTTAATTAGTAGTCCACGGTACTCTGTTAGTTATAACCTTTAGATGTTCATCAAACATTTGCGGGCGCACTCAAGTCTTACTTCCTATCTTTAAGACGACCCAATTTTACTATTCGCCCTGATAAGCTAAAAGCGACCTGTTTGCATATAATTCCACTCAGATAAAGTGCTTTGTTTGTGCAGTTGTTGGAAAAAATGATTTACCAGATACCTTGAAATGAACGAAATGCATTAAAAAGCACTTCATCAGCCACCAAATTGCTTTTCCGGCACGGCAATTTTGATTCGTCAAACGATATGGTTCATTCTAACTAATAGTAGAAGTGCTACAAAGCCACTTAACAAGGCACATTTTGATCTGTAGAGCCTTCTGGTTGTTCAGAATAAATGATTTCAACCTATGGACCACAATCACACAACACATTCCGTAACCATGCCCTCCATTGGCCATTCGCATGGATGAAACTTTAAATACAAGTGAGTATGAGTAAATGCTGAGGAAAATTTCTAATCGAGTATCATGTTTATTTAGATAGTTATAGTAAAAAAATGCGAAAATTGTACGCGCTGATACTCTGTTTCCTTCTTATAGTTAATTCCAAAGCATTCCTGAAGGTACGAGAAGATATAATATGCAGTGCTAAAGCAGGACCACAACCATGCCTTAGAGGGTAGTCAACCCGACAATTATGTAATGGCAGGGCACCTAAATGACTCTCTTACCAAAAGCCACGGTCAGACAAACAGCCTATGCATTAAATTCCTAACCACTTGATGAAGTCGATGTACAAAGAGCAATTACAAGACATGTCTACAGTTAACTGATACCAAGAAATAGACGGCTTATTCAAGTTCTGGAGAATGAATTGTGCCTTAGATTTTGTAAGTCAAGGCATCCATGAGTGAGTGGTTTGAAACTTGCTTTTACAAACCGTAGGCTGTAGGTTCCCTTGGGTCTTCCAACCCAAATCCATAGGAAAGAAAGGTTACGCTACGTTCTCAAGTCTTCACCGCGTCGAAACGAGGCAAAATAGCAAGGCGATACCGACAGAAAAGAGCTTCGGAGGATTGTCAGAGCCATCGGTATGACCAAAGTCCATGCCGAAAAGTGGAAGTAGAATTTACGTGATTCAACGCACACTTGAACTAAATTCGACGTCAATCCGGAACTAACCCGAAAACTGTGGATGTAAAGAACTAGTTGAACAATTTCCATTTAAACCAGACAAACTGCCCTTTATTCCTCCATTAAAATGATAAATCAATTGCAAAATACAACACATTCGGGAAGAATTTGGAGTTGAGTTTACACCAAAAATGCATTAAAAGTATGTGGGACCAACACACTCGGTGTTTCCAGCGATTATGTCAAAACCAATGTGGCATAAAATATGGATGGTGATTAAGCAATTGGTAAGCTCCACTCACTCGTAGATTGCAGCTATAAGCGCCTTTATCAGAAAGTTTAGTAAATGTAATAAAACGGTTCTTATTGGCATGTGTTTAACTCTAAGTACTTTAGCGAAGAGTAAGGACTGAAAGTTATCACATGAGTTTCGCTGCAAAGAAAAAGATGAGCTGACAAAACCAGAAAGCAGGAAGTTGTCATTCACAAATTCGATAAATCGTACCAGGTACAAGCCACCCCGTTTAAAGTCATACGCCAATAAATGACACCATCATGTCTACTGCACACCTTTCAACAACAATGAGCAGCTATCCAACTGTAGCACAAGAAATCTTAAGGTCCAATTGCGCACGCTATACTAATTAATGTTTTGTTACCATACAGCTAAGAAGATAAACGCGTAGGAGACCAAAACTTATTAACCTCAACTCCGTCAAAACACACAAATGTTTACAGCTTTGAGCGGACAGAAAAGACCGACTACATCGAACTAAACGATTGTGAAAACGTCTTTACAAAAACAACGGCAATACAAATTCGATAAAACAGTTCTGCATGAGTGTAAACTAACACGGAGTGCTAGCATTATGACGACATTTAACTTTAAGTATAACGCAACCAAAAAATATTACAGCTTTTTCTTAGACTAGGAATTGTCACAAATTGAGAAAAA